CACAAGGCGACAAATTCGCGAGCGGGGGCAATGACGACACGATCCGGGTGTGGTCAAAGGACGGCGAACTCATCATCGAGATAAATGGACATGAAAGCGTGGTGACATCGTTATGTTGGTCAAAGGATGGCGCATACATCTTCTCTGCCTCGGATGATCACACCATCCGAAAATCATCAATCGACGGGAAAGATTTCGTCGTTTTTCAGGGTCATACCAACTTTGTATTATCCATTTGTCTGTCACCCGATGGATGCCATCTTGTCAGTGCATCAGAAGACTACTCAGTTCGCATCTGGGACCTCAAAACAAATCGGCAACTTGGAGACCCACTGTGGCACGACAATCATGTCTTGGTAGTTGCCGTGTCATCTGATGGACAATACTTTGCCAGTGCTATCGTTGGACCCAACACAAAACCTATGTATGGAGTCTGGAAGCAGCACTCGAGCGTGCTCGTGGTGTTGACGTGCGTGTATACATCACTTTCATCAGGATATTTTCTAAATGATCTTGTGTGTCGGTCAGGACAACACGGATCCCAACGCGAAGCTCAAGGCGAGTCACCTGTCTTCTCTTTCATGCCTCATCTCACTTCTTTATCAGGGACGTGCAACTCGACCTAGAGACGTGAGCTTGTTATAAAATTGTGAATACCCTGATCATTCGCTCATTTGTCTCATAAGATCTCTACCAACAATAGAAGATATGTGAGTTCAATGCGATTATTCCTGCGCTCTTTCAATTCTGACATCTGTTCAGGGCAACGACTTCTTCGGTGATGACACAAACCGCACTACTCCTCGCTCAGCAGACAGGTCATCTCCGCGTGGTCTGCGCAACTTATTCGGCTTCCTGCGCTCCAGTACTCGAGCTGCAAATGCCTCTCAACCAATTCAGCTTCAGCTCCGGCGATTGAATTTCACCACATTTCCTGTGGGAATCTCTAGGCGTCCCGTCTATGTAGCTCCTTGGCGTGAGGAAGACGTAAGTCGCCTGTGATCACCAGTATATTTCCATCTGTGATACAAATCATTTTGCAGCGATATGGCATTGTCCCTGAGTCTGACGCAGAAGCCGCTGCGGCTATGCAACGTACAAATAGCAACAATGCAGACAGCTCAACAGCACAAGGTCAAACTGCAACAGGGGCACATGGATCTCAAGGACGACCAGCACAAACACAAAGCTCAACTAGCGAGGCTGGAGAACTATCCTGTGAAGTTAACTGCTGTTGTTTAGTCGTGCTCATCCGACGTCGCAGATAGCAGGTCGTCTAACTGTTTCTTTCGCTCGGGGGTTTTTTTTCCACCTCTCTCTAACACTTTTCTTGTGGATTATGTCTCGCCCATAACTGTGCACGAGCCTTGTGTCGTCATACGTGAAAATTCATTTTGACTTGTCCATTACATTCATACAGCATCGTTTCGTTTGAAGCATACAACTCGTAGCGCTCTCTTCTGTTTCGCGGTGGGGCTGAATACACAGTCTGAAGTGCTAGCGCTAGGTACTAGCTACAGTGTGACAAGCAACTTGAACAATGTACGACAGTTGTCCCCCAGCAATGCATAATGATTTTATTCAGCCTGCATTTCGTGTGTCTCCGTTTCTGGTTGGCCCACAACCATGATCTGGTGGGCAAGACCTTTCAGATGTCAACACTCGCCGAGAATCAGCTTTCTTCATCCATACCTCATCCGACTTCTTTACCAGGAGCTTGCAGCTCCGTCTAGAGACGTGAGCTACTTGATTTCTAACAACCTGCTCACTAGACACATCATCCCCACCTGGTCTGCGCAATTTGTTCGGCTTCCTGCGTCTCAACACTCGACCTCCAAATGCGCCACAACAATCAATTCAGCTTCGGCCTCGGCAATTACATTTTTGCTTAGTTCCTGTGAGAATCTCCGGGCGTCCGGTCAATGTTGCTCCTAGCCGTGAGGACGTGAGTAGTTCAATGTGTGTCCCCCTTTGATACCATTACCATTAATTTGCAAAAGCCCATGAGACTGACGTGGAAGCAGAAGCAGTTATGCGACGTACGAGCAGCAAGATAGGTGACAATTCAACTTCGCAAGATATCACTATGCAACCAGCGCACAACCCCTTTGCAAGGTGGGAGGGAGACAGCGGCATATGTGCATCAATCCTGTTCGATTACTTGGAGATCCAGTAGGGCTGATAAGCAATCTGGGCCGGCGATGAACTTGAATATGAAGATACAATCCACAGCATCCCATCACATACGATGGTTCTCCTGTGCCAGCAACAGAACTTTGCTCATGAGTAAAATGTGTTGGTCGTCCTTGTAAAACTACATGAGACTCTTGCGTCCCTGCTACACCCTGACCTTGTTGCGTTAAACTATCAGCGTTATTATCGCTCGTGCATCGCATGGCCGTGGCCGCTTCTGCGTCAGTCAGGGGGTCATGCAGTACCTCTGCAAATGTGTTTCAACGGATCGAAGGGGGGCGAGTATCGATGATGACGAGAGACTCACATCATCATCTTGGGGACGGGGGGCATAGACAAAAGGGATAAAGCTGAAATTCCAACGCCGGGGCTGGAGCGGTAATTGTTGGGGAGCATTTACAGGTCGGATGCTGAGGCGCAGGGAACCAAACAAAGTACGTAGACGAAGTGGAAGTGACGGGCCTGCGAACATATCTGAACCGCGGGGCATGGGATTTGTGCTACTGCTCAGAAAATCATCGCTCTGTATCAGTGTTAGCGTAGGAAGCACTGAGGGAGGTGAAATGTTACTGACATATCTTCCCAATCCTCTATTGTTGCCTAGTTGCTAAGGTATAGGAGGTGTGCCAAGGGCCTGATCAGATAAGTCAGTCGAGGATGAAAGAGAAGCAGGAATGACTCGCCTTGAGCTTCGTGTCGGGCTTTACATTGCGATCATGCGCACTCTAAACGAGATCGAAAGCGCGGTTATAAAACGCTGACAATATCAATGGACATACGCACGTCAACTCGGTTACTTGTTTTAACACTGCCTCGAGGCTCGAAACATAGACTTTTGCATCTAGTACAGCACCGGCGACATATTTTCCATTAGGAGACACGGTGATCGCCAAGAGCACATTGTCGTGTATGGGTGATCGCCTAACTTGCTGATTGATCTTGAGGTCCCAGATACGGACTGAGTGGTCCATTGATGCGCTGACCAGATAGGACTCATCCGTGGACAGACGGAGGGAGGTGACGGCGTTGGTATGACCTCGAAGAACGACGAGGTCCTCACCATCAATCGACTGCCATTTTCGGATGGTGGTATACGATGACGTGGAGAAGATGCATGTGCCATCCTTAGACCAACACAACGACCACACCCAGTCATCATGACCATCGACCTCCACGAGGAGCTCGCCATCCTTTGACCACAGACGGATCATCTTGTCCACCTCGCAGCTCGCAAATTGGTCACATTGTGGGGAGTATTTGAGGCAAAATACCCAGCCATGACCGGTCTATATCAGTGGTGCGACTCGTTGGCCAATATCGGGGTTCCACCGTCGTATACACCGTCCTGCGATCCACTTGCTATCTCCAGGCCATTGGGGAGACCAATCAAGGCACCTCGCCGCAGCTTTATGCCCCTTCCACGGCTTACCAACCACGATGCCCTCCTTTATGTTCCACAGCCGCAGTTTTCCGACTGCACTTCCACTGACGACCATTGTTTCATCTGGAGACAGTGCCATTGAGCATACCACTTCTCCGTCACCATTCCAAGGCTTTTCTGCTCGCTCCCCGTCTCTTTCCCACCGGCGAAGTGAACGAAAGGATGACACGCTCATTATCTTGCCGGTGCCAAAGCAAGCAAGGCTCCATATGCATCTAGAATGTCGTTCTGGCACAGGTTTCTTCCACGATGTGGTGCGAGTTTTATGGTTAATGAAGTAGGACCGACCAAGTGGTGAGATATACCATTCACAATCGGGAACAGCAAGGTCTCCAGGGCCGTCTATTGTCCGGCGTCAGTTCAACGCTCCTTGGATCAATTTCTTCACTCGCCTAGTCGTACTCCTGGCAAAGGTCGGTGCCGTGATACCATATACAAGTTGTCATCTTGAAATCGGTTTTCGCTATCTGCCACCATAAAGCTGTGCCATAGAGAAGGGAGAGTTTCATTCCCACCTGCCTCTTTTGAGTCGGTCAGCTGATGTTACAACGTGATTACTCACCACTCCAATGTGCATGCTGGCGGTGTTGTGCACCATAGGGTGGCGGATGGCGAGCATCATAGTACGGGTCCACGACTTCCAAAGGAACGCATATTTTTTCAACGGCTGCTGTGGTTTATGGCTGGACAGTGAGTCAGAGCTCGATCAATGCACCGAATCGATAGTCTGGGAGAGAGGTTAGTGATAGCGGAGGTGATTGGGAGACCTGATAGTGCTAAAATGATAAATTTCGCATGATGTGGCTGTAGGCGCCTTGAGGCTTGGTTAAATCACATGTTGAAGGCAGTATTCAGGGTGCATCAGTTTCGTCATTCAAAAATACAAGGGATCCGTATCCTTTTGTACAGCTTGCAGTTTACTCGCAGACCGAGAAGTAGTAGCGCGCTCTCGCTGGTACAAGCCCGAGAAATGTTGGAGCTTGTCCATACTCAATCAAGGGATGCTTATCTGAATTTTCATCGCGGTCAGTGAACAGAGCGTCTAAATGATGATGAAATGGGGGAAACTCACCCGATCAAGTGTCACGTTCCTAAAATTTTCAGCGTTAAAATATATAACATCAGCGCGCAATGTTCATTATAATAGGTCAGATTATTTTCGCTGCAAAGCGCTGCTCACGAAGGTGCTAGGAGATGCATGTCTGCTTGATATTTTAAACGGAAGAACAACGTTGTTTGTTGATCGGGTAGGTTCGTGCGCAGAGGGAGTACAAATTAGGCAGTTATTACATAAGCGTTGAGTGGGATGTGGAAGGCGGCTAGAAGGGATTGACGATAATTTACTTGACCGCCGTTAGCTGCGATGGCCCCGACTCAACCCTTCTCCTCCCCGCATGTGCACCCGCCATATCCTTCTCTCTACCTTTATCCTCTCAACGACACTTTCATTCCAAAACACATCTCCCTCCACAGTGGCCAGCGCGTAAAGATTGGGCGCCAGACAAACGCAAAGACAGTCCCAGCAGAGAGAAATGGCTATTTTGACTCGAAAGTGCTAAGCAGACAACATGCAGAGATATGGGAGGACAGTGGAAAGGTGCGTTTTGTTCTACATTTTTTGGTAGAAAGGCTGACGGACGTGGCGGAAGATATACATCAAAGACGTGAAAAGTTCCAATGGCACTTTCATCAATGGCGAGCGGCTCAGCCCAGAGGGTGTCGAGTCCGAGCCATTTGAACTCAAAAACGATGATATCGTGGTATGTGGGCCCCATTTCCCTCCGTCTGACCCATCCAACCCCCCTGCAGGAATTCGGTATCGACATTATCGGTGAAGACAACAAGACCACCATCCACCACAAAGTCGCTGCCCGTGTCATGTGTGTGTTCACAGACGAAGACGCACATCTCGCTGCCCGCGTAGAGGCCATCCCATCATCCGCCTCTCTTCCTCCCAACATCCCCTCCGTCCTCCCTCCCTCCGGTTCATCATCTGGAAGTAATAATAACTTTAGCTTTGCACATCCACAGCGCCGCCCTACCCTCCAGAGCCAGCTCGGTGGCATGGGCGGCAGTATGCGGCCACCGGGCAAAAATGGCCTTTCCTTTGACCACATATTGAGCAGACTTCAGGGCGAACTCCAGAAGAGCCGTGATACTGGCGCAGAACTGCACTCCCTGAGCTCTTCAATGAATGACATTCACGACACGCTCGGTGGCTCGGTGGTCTGTGCCCGCCACTCTCTTTATTCCTACATACTGACTATCTCCCTTCCCCACAGCCCCAAAACCTACCACACTTCCCCCAATTACTCCCTCCCGTGCGTTCACAACAAGCCTCGACCACCTCTGCACCCACACCTGCATCCGCCGCGCCCGCAAATCCAGAACCCCCTGCACCTCCCCCAGAGCACCCTGGCCTTTCCGAGCTGCGCTCAGAGCTACATGAGACCCAAGCCAGCCTCGCCAGCCACGTCGACAAGGTCCGCGCCCTCGAGGACATGCTCGCAGAGCACGAGGCCATCAAGGCCGAGGTCGCAGCTCTCCGTGACCTCATCCACGCTTCATCCGCACGTTCCCAGCACGACAATGGCATGCACATAGACTTAGAGCGTGGTCGCCGTGGACACGACGATGACGATACATCTAGCATTCATACGATTACACCGCATGAGCTGGAACGCGTTGAGGAGGAGGATGAGAGTGAAGAACAGGATGAGAGCGAGGAGGATCGGGAGCGTGCACAGAGGAGGGAGGAGCTGGGTAGGCCACGGACGCCAGAGCCATCGGGGATGGGAATGGACGAGGACGAGCTTGTGCATGTCCCTGTTTCAGACGTTGAACCCTCGACGACACGACCACGATCACGGTCCGCCTCGCCACAGCCATCGCACCCCGCACTAGACGAGCTTTCAGCGCGATTAGTAGCTCTCAGTGGACGCATAGATAGTGCTGTGGAAGTCAACCATTCCCTGGCGGCGCAACACGCTGCCGCGCAGGGTACGATCACCGTATTACAGGACAAGATCACTGCGCTGGAGGCGCTGGTTGCAGACCGGCAGCTCGAGACGCAGATCGCTGCAGCTGTGGAGGCCCAGCTCGCCAAGGCCGTAGAAAGCGCAGTAGAGGCCCAGCTTCGCGCACAGAAACAACAGCAGTCAGACCCCGCTGAAGGGTTAACTGCGCTGATGGCAGAGTGGAAGAAGGGTGTGGAGGGGCAATGGAGCGCAGTGCAAGAAGAATGGGGCGCGGAGCGTGAACGGCTACGCCGGGCCTTCGAGGGGCTGGAAAGCGGACTCGACGGACGGGTGTCGAATGTTGTTGCCTCGCATGTACAGGCGCAGACGCATGCAAGGCTTCAGAACGGTGACCTCAAGCTGCATACCACAAACGGGACGAACCCTGTAGGTGGAGGATTGGTGACGCCTCCTAGTCCCGTAAGCGTCGCTTCTAACCCTGGTCGAGGGAAAACGCGACGACGAAGACGTTCAAGATCTCCATCTGTGTCTTCCATCGAGTTGGACGATGAGGCGCACAAGAATGAGAATGGGATTGTGGATGGGAACGATGCAAGTCGATCACGATCACCTTCGCCTGGACCGTCGATTGCGGGGAGCGAGCCTGAGGCAGAGCGTGAGCTGGAGAAGCACAAGGGCGTGCAACCTCTTACACCAGAGTCATCTGTCACCGATGCCGGAGGGACGGATCCTTTGGGGCAGAAACCGCAGTTACAGATGCAGACGCAAACAGAGGTGACGCAGCGGGTGAGTGTTTTCGTTTTGCACACGCATATAATTAGTGGTGCTAATGTCCTCGCGTACAGCTGCATTCGGCAACGACAACGATGACAGCTGCCGTTGGCGTGCTCGTCTTGAGCGTCGCGGCGGCTGCCGTGCTATATCGTATGAAACCAGAATAAGCAAGTATTGAGGGGGTGAGGGGTTCTTTTTTTCCTATTCCCGCTCCTGTTTCCTATTTGCTGTTTGCAATGGATAAAACGTATCGAGTATCAAGTATCGTCGGGTTGGAACGTGCATGCATCGGACGGTTCGGGTCTGTCTTGTCTGTCTGTATCTGTCCCTCGCTCGCTTTGATGCAACGCATTCATTTTTCCACTTTATACTTCCATATCCTTCGCTATAGCATATGACCCTAACCCAACCCCATATCACCCGTTCATGCACGCATCCACGCATCGCATCGCATTACAATTATTTTATCCTTTTAGCTTCTTTTCTTCTGTCACGCTTGTGTTGAATTGTTGATGATCTGCGTTTGTTTTTTCTTCTTGTCATTGTTTATGCGTTCTTTTTACTTGAAGTATATACGTATTTTATGCATGTCTGCCTTTCTATACGCTTTCGGTTTTAATGACAGTCATGACTTTTTTTGTATTTGGGAGGTATATGAGGTATGTCATAATCATCATATGGTGAGTGTGTAGGAACGTACATATGCAAATATTGCTGCCTTCTGAGGTCGCGTCGCAGACAGTGTAGAAGGAACGATTTTCGTCGTTCGTCTTCAAAGTGAGATCTGTCTGTTTCAGATCCGGAACCTCGCAAAAGTAACATATTTGAATGAGATGGACTCATCAACGAATTAGATTTTGTTTCTCTCCTTCGAATTCGAATCTACCATTCTCGTGATCCCTGCCGCAGACACGTATTATGTAATCACTTGGGGCGCTCCCCCACCACTGTCGGCGGGTTAGTTCATCTGTCGGTACAGGCCGCGCGATTACCGCTGCTTTTTCGGACGTCGTAATCTGGATCTGGCATTATGACCGGCAAGGAATCATTCATCAATTTCATTCAAGATCTCATCCCGCGATCATTCATTGTGCTATTGTATTGCTCTACAACAGTTCAAACGTTCAAGCTCAAGCTCGATGGTTGGGACCGAAACGAGCACTTCCTCCCAGTTGAAACTGAGGAGACACGATATTACAAATACGAAATCATGGATAAAAATCATGGAACGGTGGATCTGCTTCTTCACACCAGCCGCGCAAAAAGAGCGACGCACTACGGACTACAAGGATGCGCCCCCAATGTGGTCCCTGTCACTAGTGAAGCGTTCGCCAAGAAACACACATCCAGAAAGATGAAATGGTGGCCCGTTTTCATCTGGATTTGCTTGTGTTACAGGCAGGGACTCGGAGTGCTTCTGCCAACGAGACCGCGCGCTTTGGATAAATGGGCGACCTTAAACGCTGTGGCATGTGGCGAGAAGAAGTACTTTTCCTTAGGTCATCTGCAAGTTCACTACCCCTCGGACATCGATCAGCGTATGGGAGGCTTCCTTGTGGATTGTGTCGGGGTGCTTCGACAAAATGCCGAGTGTCGATCTGCTCGCCTCGACCATCCACCTGTACAAGGGGCAACCGACCAGTCCACTGATGAGGAGCCGGAGGATATCGATGGTGTTCTACACGTGTTTACGACCACGACGAGCTGGGTCAAGCTCACAGAGCTCAGCAACCCTTCACAGTGATTTATTTATTCCTGCATACGATTTTCTGCATACCGACACTTGTGACTTTCAGTTGTTTATAGATAGCATATTCTAGTACTTCATACATACGACATAGACACTGGTTTTGATTCTCGGGTATGAATGTTGGTTGATGTTCGCAACATCAATGGTGGAATTCTCTCTATTCAACACGTACGAACACATCTCCTTGACTCGCCATCGCCCACCTCTACCCGGCTGGGTAAAGTATTTACGTTGCGATCCCTATAGGAGGTGGGGTTCATGATTGTGTGAGACGAGCATTCACCCGTAATCGATGTTGTCGGTTTCTACAATGGATTCTATAGTTGTCCAGCGTATCTCCAGGCCCACAGTTATATAGCTGCAAACCGAGTGTAAGTCTGCGTTAGTACGAGTCTAGTGGTGCGCACGAACTTTGCCAGGGCAATCCAGACACTTCATCCACCACATTGGCATAGCACGTGGAGCTGGCCTACGCAATACTACCTCGAACTTATCATCCAGGTATTCATCATTAATAAGACGTATTGCCGGGATTAACCATGGCGGAGCGGCCTGTTTACTCAACATTAGGGTAAGCATTTCAAAAGTCGTTATCACACACTATCTAAGAGTGGGGCATCGCCATGGCACCATCAGCGTGGGGAAGCAACTCAAAAGACAAAATCACGCACTGCTAGGTCTTCCTGAGAGCGGGATATTGTCAAGTATTCAGCGTATGATTGCTAGTATAATTTCATGATGACATACAGTTTGCCGGACATGGAAGTTGCGAATAAGGTCCATTTCTGTGTCAGGTGCGGCATCGGAGTCAATATCAGAGGGTAGAGCAATCCGATCTGGGTTGGAAGGTACACGGGAGACCTGAAACCGTCGTTTGCATGTTCGGCTTGCGGTTGTTAGACACAGCTAGGACCCATAAGACAAACATACTCACCAATCAATCGAGCAATCAGCCTGCCGTCCAAACGAATACATCATAGACTCGATACCAAGGGTATTCATAGCACCGCAAGGACATTCGTAGGAAACTTGAGAGGATGATGACATCTGCTGTTCAATGATAACCCTCATGACAATCGTCGTGCCCGCTTCAAGTCTTGACCATTGATGACTTGTAAGCTGGGTTACTCGCGGGCCCTCGTCGATGCATAAATCATACTTTCCGCTCTCCATATACCGTCTCTGAATTTGAGCTTCAGCGGAATTGCATTTAAATAGAGCTTTGAGCATCTCATTGAATTGCTAAGCATTCGATAAGTATACTTCCCTAAGACGGATTTTCGCTGGGGAAACGTACCTCAAATGAGGTGCAGAAGTTCACCGATATTGGATGCCGGCAGTCCGTTGCGTCTATCAGCGTCACGCAGCCACGGGTGGCAGTGCCGATTAACTGAGTTGCTGTCGGTCCCAACGAAAACTGTCCGTGGGTGACCAAATTCTCAATCGTCATCAGGAGCTTCTGACGATCATCCCGCTCTCTCTGTAGAATCACCAAAACTTCGCGTATGTCACGTTGACTTTGCATTTGGGATGACCACTAAGCAAGCAAAGTAGTGAGTGAATGCAAACATTTGTTAGAGAATAGAATCCAACCAAATAATCCGCCAGATAACGGTCGATTTCAATAAAGCATCCAGCGATAGCTTGTGTAACGGGTGTGGATGCAAGACAGCGTTCATGCAACGCTGTCACTCGAGCTGATGTGTCCTCCAGCATTCTAAGTGCGACTCAACGTCAGATGAATCCAAGAATGCACCAACAATGTGAATACCTGACAAAGGAATCTCTTCGAGATTGTTCAACAGGATCCAAGGCAGGCGAGGCATTGCACAGTTCGCGGCTGAGTCGATCGAGTCGTAATGTCAGGCCATCGAGGTCCGCCTTATTCTGGTTATGTCTCTGTGATGATCTTTAAAATCAAGAAAGGTTCTCGCAATCATAAAAACTCTCACATCTATAGCTTGAAGGCCTGTTACTAATCCACCAATAGCCGCTTGCATCGGAGCACCGACAAGTGGAATTGCACTCGCAACAGCCTGTACCAAGGGCAAAGCTAGCTGAGCCATGTCAGAAGCTTTGCGGGCAAGAGCTACACCCCTGGAGGATCTGGGAGAAGAAGCATTGGTGGAGGCTTCAAGACCCGGTTCTTCATTCGCAGACACAGCGTGTACTTGCGATGAATTCGAAGAAAGAGTTGGGGAAAGACTAGAAGTGTGTCCAAGGATGGAAACATCGCCCTCATGGTCGGTGGTTGTCGAGCTGCATTGTGTGTGTCCGTTCTTTGTGGAGCGCCTCAAACGAATTGCGAAGACCTTGCCGAAATCCTTGACGAAATCCTTGACAACATTCTTGACCCGCGGAGGAGGCATTTCGATCAGATTGGCCAGAGGTTAGGTCAGAGGGAATACAGGTAAGAGAGAAGGGAGCGAAGGAAGGGAGGAGGTACTAGGTTAATAACAGGGAGCTGTGTACAACACAGCCCAAGCCTCGTGAAAGTACTTTAGTATACAGCATGTCGGTTTGAACTTTGTGCAGAAAGCAACAACTTGAATCATGCCTAAACGATGTTGATGAATTTGTCTGGCAATCAGTAGCGATCGACAGTCTGCTGCAGGTCACAATAGTACAAGAGAATTATAGTCGATAATTGAGTTTATTGTGATAGGCAAATTAGCGCTCGGGAGGCAGACTGTGGTTTGACGGTTGACCTGGTTTGACTCAGAATTGATCTAGCAAATCAACTTGAGATCAACAGCTCTTGATTGTATACATAATGTCGACCGAATTTCCACCTTACTCACCCCAGACAATCAAAGTCCGCACCATTCCGATCGGCTCCCTTGAAGGAGTAGCGTCGATTCACAAAATCCACTCCGTGCGCATCACCTGGGTTGATCTAGTCAACGGCACTCGCTTCCGCGTTCTCCCTCTCAAATCCTTCCAGCGTCTCCTCGCCTCATCTAGACCGGGTATAACCATCGCCCAATGTGTCTTCGGCTTCGTAGTTAACAGGACCGCGTCTGGTTTTGGGCCCATAGGGGAGTACCTGTATGTGGTAGACTTGACATCCATGAGGTTGTGTTCCTATGCACCGGGACATATAAGTGTTATGGGCTGGTTCCAGGACAAGGCCCCTGCTCCAGATCGTGTCCTTGGCACGGGTGTGCCAATGTGTCCACGATCAGCACTGAATCGTATTGTCGAGTGCGTCCCCTCTAACACTGCTTGAATGTGGACACTGACTTGAGCCTTCAGCACCGCCAAATCTTACAATGCTGCGTTCCTTGTTGGATTCGAGACCGAATTCATTCTCCTCAAAAGCACAAATCCCATCGAGGCGGTCAATCCACACGGGTGGAATAGCGCGCAAGCGTTACGTTCCGGAACCAAGGAGACAGAAGTGATAGAGGAGATCGCTCGTGGACTCATCAATAGCAGAATCGAACTGATGATGTATCATTCCGAAGCGGCGCCGGGGCAGGTTGGTGTTTCCGACTTTTTCTGGCTGATTTCTATGTGCTGACTTTGTACCACAACATAGTACGAGATTGTGACGGGTCCACTTCCACCTCTTGAAGCTGCTGATGCGCTCGTACACACACGGGAGACGATAACCAACGTCGCAAGCAAACACGGGTTCCGTGCGACATTTGCACCAAGGTTAAATTTGGATAACTGTACGTGCTATTCCCGTAGCCGATCGTTCTCTCTGTCGTTTTTGCCGACATGTTCACACCCTGAGTCTATCCTCTCTAATTTACGCCCTCATATAGGTGGCAGTGCGGCTCACACTCACATCTCTGTGCACCCTATCGATGACGAACCATCATCTCAACTAACATCAGACAATCCTCTCACCCCTCTCGAAAGTACATTCCTAGCCGGTTTACTTAAGCACCTTCCAGCTACATGTGCATTCACGCTCCCCCTACGTGCCTCCTATGCACGCATGCTCGATGGGATTTGGAGCGGCGGGACATGGGTCGCGTGGGGAAGGGATAACCGCGAGGCGCCCGTGCGCTTGTGTGTTCCTCCTGCGTTCGTTGACCCAGAGCCTGCATCTAACGCTCCCTCCAAGAACCACTTTGAAGTCAAATGTATAGACGGCACGTCTTCCCCCTACCTCGTTCTCGCGAGTCTCATCGGCTCTGGGCTCCTTGGGATCCAATCGCAAGCACCCCTCGTAGAGAAAGATTGTGCTACGCCCGCTGCGCAGATGACTGAGGCGGAGAGAGAGGCAGTCGGTGTTAGGCAGCGGATGCCGTTGTCTTGGGAGGATGCAAGGGCTGCATTGGAGGGCGATCAGGTATTGAAGAATGTGCTTGGAGGCATTGTAGAGGGGTTCCTATCGGTGGGGGAGGTGAGTCATTTAATTGCTGGATTGGGCTCTATTGTATTGTATTGCATTTATTTTCAACTGGTCTGCTGTATTGTGTTCGCAGATAGGCTAATGGAACCTTGTTATTAGATCTTGGACGACATTTTACGCTCGCCGGCGAGCGAGGCGGAGAGAGTACAGATGCTCGTCGAGTATTATTGAGCTGGCAGGCTTTTAACTTTCTTCTTCTTCGATGGTTTCCAGTTTCGATAGGCCTGTGTAAGACTGCTGACTGAGTTGTTGCAAGAATGATGTTCACAAATTTAAAACCCATCAAGTTCACAGCCGTTCGAAGCCTCGGTATTCAAACATATCGCGCGCGATTTCGCACCATCAGTGTTCATTCTTCTTCGAGCACCGGAAGTGTGCGTATAAGTATGTAGGACAAGTACCACATGGTACGTCCACGATGCTCGCCACTCATTGATACCAACCCTTCTGCGGCCAGTGATCGTTTTTGTTTCGCCTTGGCAGCTATTTTAGGTTCGTGGTAAGCAATACTTACTTTGTGGCTCTGCAGTTGCAATATGTTGGATTGATGACCGCGTGGTTCACTGCCAATACTTCTAGACTGTCCTAAGAATGACATTCCCTTTCCTTTTGGAGGCTCAGTGTTCGGATATTCAGCGCGCGCGTCACTGCTTTGGCAGCGATTTCACTCCCATGTGCGATGCTCGAGCGCTTGACAGCGATATATCTAGGACGAACACCAGCGTTGCGCATCCACGAATCTCCACTCGAGCTCATTGACTTCGATCCTTTGAAATGACTCTGATATCAAATGATCCCACTTGGTGGCCGCTAATCAATTGGTATGTTGTTTACAGCTATTTTATAGGTGTGTGGAGACCGAGCTCGAGTTGGAATGAATGTGGCTCACTTTGCGATTTCCCAGTCGCGTCCTCTGTTGCTGTGGTATATGATTGGGGTGAGCAGGGAAATAACTTATCAGAATCATTGATGCCCTTATGCATTCTCCAGCACTTACACTCGGGCAAGAGGTATGTTGAGCGATTACCAGAGCAAGTTTTCTCGCTGAGAATGATTTTATAGATTGAATTGGTCTGGGTGAGTAGAGCCCCATATCAGAAGGACAAATTTAACTCGGGGCAGAGGCGACCTTGTTCCCTCATGACCGTTTTGTACCTCAGTGTGCGTAGGACATTAACACGTCTGGCAAGTTGTGTTCACTTTGACATACCAGGTTCGCTACATTGGAATGCCATACTCTGCGTATGTTTGCAAGGTTAACAAGCTGGTACTGTGCTAACGGGCCATCCCTCCCAAAAAATAGCGTCGTGTTGCTAGGTATGCCTCCTCAATTGCACCGTAGTCCGTGCCTTGTTGCTAACAGCATGTAGGAAGTCTCCCATTAGTTTCTGTAACAGATTCAGTGAGCATTGTGTCTGGATATCTGTCATTCCCAACTAAACGCGCTCCTAATAGGGGTGAGTGGGATTTTTGACCGACTTAATGCATCGATACAGTGATTGCAACAGATGTGAGTTCATACCGCGACACATTGTTGGTCATTAGTGACTTTGTCAGGCGCTATCATTTTCCAAGCACAAGGCTGGATGACTTTTATTATACTAATCATGTTAGGCGGTGAGCGACTTAGCTGCAATTTTCGGTGATATCGACTTGACTGACATATCGTGCAAGTCATAATGATCACTCGGTTACATGCCATGTTTCAGCAGTCCAGAAAGATGTTCATTTTTCTCATTGCTATCTTCCTGGTTACCATGATCACTTATGGAGTTCTCAACGGCAAAATAAGCAGCAGTATTCCAGGGGGTAAGTTCTAGTTATCGATAATTGACCTCGTCAGGCTTATCGTATGAACACCAGGCTCGGAGGTGCTCATTCTTTCCGGTACGCATCACTGCGTCGTATGGGCCGGGGGAGACGTCCCGCTTCTGAATTCCCTCCTTTGGATCCTCACCACTGCATGGGAGGTCATTGCATTGTGTCTTGCCGTCTGGATTGTTACAAAGCACTTCCGTGATCTGCCTGGACCGACTCTCGGAGACTGTTTCATGGTGTTAACCAAAACTCACGTGTTTTATTTTGCAGCGTGAGCTCGTGATTTTAATGTGATAATTCTTTTTTTTTTTTTTTTTTTTTTTTTAATCATATTTTTGTCCGGTTGGGGTATAATACCCTATGTAGGACATATCTATCTAGGAGGGGGGACACCAGTGTCCCCCGCCGCATCTCCTACTCTGCAAATGCCCCAACGAAGGTTTGACCTTCGCTGGTCCGCCGTTCCTGCCGGCCGTTTTAGATGCACGAGTCTGCTACTCAGCGGGCCGTTTTTAGTACATTTCGATGAAGGTGTGATACTGGCGAGTGTTGGGGTTATACATGTACTCGGAACACCGTTTTTAAAGGCTTCTAGTACGAGGGGAGTAAGGTGGGGAGCGGTTGGAAAGTGAATGATGTGTTGGTTGGCGTCGGGCCGGTGGTTGAAATGTTTTGACGTGCTCTTCGTTTTCTTTTTCTCTTCTCTAATACAACTTCTCTTTGCCTCCTTCCGACATCATTGGGTTTCCTGCCGGCTTATCTCCAGATGGCTTGGAGGATGACGCCGTTTTACCCTGCGTAGGCGAGTGTGGTGGATAGTGGACTCATTGAGGCCGGAAATACTGGGTATATTACTTTTGTTTTAGTTTCTGCTAATGTAGCAATCATTTGTTTGAAACTTTAACGTGGAACGAGGGGAACATCACTGTAAGTGGATTTCAGTCTGCCTGTGCTGTTTATGAACCTGATGAGCGGGGCTGTGGCTTTGGCATTAGAGAGTAGGTACGTGATGGATGCTGCGCGTCTTTTGAGGACGGACGTGAGAATGTGTCTTTCTCTTGCGTACTGCGGACAAGAGAGGAGGAAGTGTGGTATCGTCTCGGGTGAACCGTTGCAATGAGGGCAGTTGGGACTTTGGCTCTTTCCGAGTCGGTGTAGATGTTGATTGAGGGCTATGTGGCGTGTGCGTAGTCCTATGAGCAAACTAATATGGCGTTTCGGCAAGTTTTTGACGAGGGAGATGAAGGACTTGCTCGCTGCTACGAGTTGCGGATCTATGCTGATGGTGTGAGCGTGACGTGGTGATTTCGTCCAGAGTCTGTTCCATCTGTCAGCTGATTCCTTTCGTTGTGCTTGCTTTAACGCGGATGTGCTGCTTGGTAGAACGCCCTTCTTCAGGTATGGGGGTAAACGTCTTGTCGCGCTGTTCGCCTCACTTCCCTCCGCTGCTTCCTTCGCTTCCTGATCTGCTTTCTCGTTGCCCTCCACTCCGTCATGTCCCGATATCCAGTGAACTTTGACTTGGAAGTTGCAGTCTTTACTGTTTTTCTTCAATATTTTGATTAATCTGCGGAAATGGTCGATTATATAGTGGCCAGATTTAGTAGAGAATAAGTCACCGGATTTCAGCATTGCTTGATTGTCGACATATATCGTGATAGGGTACGTGAGGTCGTCTTCTAGTGAGAGGAGTTGGGCTGCTAGAGTTAGACCTACAGCTTCTGCCTCGTAAACGGTATGTTCAGTGTCTGTCCCTAAGTGATAACGGAGGATACGAGGACGGGGTTGTCCTCGTCTATACATTACCGCTGCTGCCCCGATGTTGCCGTTTAATCCGGATCCATCGCTATACACTTTGATTTCGTCTTCGTTATTGTTGTGGTCTTCAACTGCTTGCTCCCTGGTCTTGGCGATATTGATAGAGTATGGGTTCCTGTCGTTTGGTGAGCGCCGATTGTGCTTGATGGTTTCTATTGACCCTATGTCGATCTGCGTCGCGTGAAATAGCTGGTGTAAGGATGAGCAGTGGCTCTTGACGTATCTCTTCGCCGCTTTCCTGACTGGGCCGTGCAATGGGTGAGATTCAGGATGTGCCGCTAATCGAATCGCTGCCTGATAACATAAGTTCTGCATCCTGTGTTCTAGCGGTAATAGCTTAGCGTGAATTTCCAGAGTGTCGGTTGCCGTGGAACGCAACGCCCCCGTTATACTCAAAGCCGCTATTCTCTGTACTCTGCCTATTCTTCGAGCGACCCCAATCGATCCTGGGTGTTGAACGTCGCTGTCTCCAACGAATATGGGGCGAAACCAGATATCCACCGCATACAACATCTTTGGCATGGCGACTGAAAGGTATATCTGTCTCATTAGCGATAGTGGGATTCCCATGGAGGATGATGATAAGCGGCGTAGCTGGAAAATGTACGCCATTCCCTTTGCGATGGCATACACTATGTGGGCTTTCCATCTCAATGCTTGATCCAGGATGACCCCCAGGAACTTATGGGTAGCGGTTGGCGTGATTGTGGTATTCTGCGTAATTAGTGGTGGACGAGTCTTCGTTTGATTCATTGAGAAGTCGACCAGGGCAAACTTTGATGTTTCGAAGTTGGAATTATGATTTGCCGCCCACTCGTACCCTCCTCCTGGTCTCTCTAGCATATCTTGTAGAATGTTGTGAGTTTCGTAGAAATCTGCTCCAATCGCTATGAACGCAGTGTCGTCGACAAAGGCTAGGGTGCGCTCTTTCTTTTCGTGGCCTAGGGAGATGTCAACTAGATCAGAGTCGTATATGACATATAGTATCATTGAAAGCGGGTCGCCTTGACCTATTCCGTTCGCGATTGGTATCCAGTCTGATAAGTGGCCGTCGAATTTGAGTTGCGTGCGTCGATCAGTCAGTAAGCGTTCCGTGAAGTCTACCAACGATTTTGGTAGTCTGCGGGTACGCATGTTGTGGAGTAGACGGTTAGTTACAGCGTTAGGAAATGCTCCTTCTATATCCAGAAACAAGACTGATACTACCTTTTTGGTCCTCCATGCGTCTTTGATTGTAGCTTCTAGTAGATGTAGAGAGTCTGTCGTTGAGCGACCAGGACGTCCTCCAAAGTGGGTGCTAGGCAGGAGCGCGTGGTGTTCCAATAAGTATGTCATCTGGTCCGCGACCACGGCTGTAAGCAGCTTGCACGTGGTATTGAGCAGCGCTATCGGCCTGTACGCCTTGGTGACTGTATAATCGGGTTTTCCTGGTTTTCGCAAGACTATGGTGGTGAAATCTCTCCAAGGGCTGTAGTACGTTTTGAAGGTGAAAACCGCTCTGAATAGATGAGCTAGAAAGGGGGAAAGTAGATTAGCGCATCGTATAAATACAATATTGGAAATCCCGTCTGGGCCTGGGGCCTTGTACGGGCTTAACTTTGATATGCTTCGTTTTATTTGTTCAATGGTGATCGGGGCTGGAGTCGGTACTGCATCCGGATATTCGAAGTCTTGTGGTACTGAGGAAGTTGCCAGCGGTGGGGGGAAGAAGGCCTGCGCTAGAGCTGCGCTTTTTTCCTCGTTGGTGTTAGCGCTGCTGCCACCTGGTCGTTTGAGGGTAGGTATTCTTGATGTGCCGCCGTCGCCTGCTGGGGCCGTAAGGTAACTGTTGGCGGTCCAGATATCGTTCCCTTCTAAGTTTTCGAGCCAGTCTGTCCAATGGTCCTTTTTCGTCTTCTTTACCGCCTCGCTGTACTGGTTGCGCTTGATCCGATGTTCCTCGTGGCTGTAATGGTTAGCAATGTCCCTGTTCCGATATGATAAGTGGCTGAGTTTCGCTGTCTCCCGTCTCAACATGGTCAGATCCCGTGTCCACCACCTTTTCGAATGGGGGTTGGGCTTCGAAAGGGGGACAATGATTTCCGTTACTTGCTGAATGACTGCTGTAAGGTTGCGGGCCGCGGTCTGGAAGTCGGCTTCGGATGTGATTGGTTGTGTGCTGGGGATCTTGTCTAGTTCGGTTCTTAGCTTCTCATTGAAGGCGTTCCAGTCCGTTTCTCTATAGTTGTGCTTGATGTCAATGGTGGCGCGAGGGATCTCGAGTTCTAGTGTACTGAGGACTGGTACGTGATCTGTTGCTGGTCCTCGTAGGGCGGGGTTTGTAGTGCAGCTGATGAATGATACACCTGTGTGATCAGTGCAGAACACGTTGTCTGGACGTGTCCAGTTCTTAGAGCTAGATGACTGAAGGGTCGGCAAACCTTTAGGTAGCATCATGATCATTCCATAGTCCGCAATGAGGTCCAGCAGCGGTTGCGCTGCGTTAAGATAGCGATTAGTGAATAGTTGGGTGTTCCTGTCTTCGTCCCATAGTGGATGGTGTCTGTTAAAGTCACCAAGCCATATCATGTGATCCTCCGCTGATGGTCTGATTTGCGCGATCTCCCGTTCGAGGTAAGTCGCCATCGCTTCTTGAGTTTTCGTTCGGATACAGTCATTGTATATGTTGAAGATGGTGCATCGTCCGAAGTGACCTTTGAATTGGATTACAATGACGTCGGGTGATGGAAAGGGTAGTTGCTGCCATGAGTTGGTATCGATTGCCTTGGATATTAGTGTAACGGCGCGTGAGGTTGAGTCTGGTGAGGTGAAGCGAGTCGTTGGATAGACTGCGTGAAAATATCGTGATGATATCGTGTTTTTCGTGGAATTGATGTGAGGTTCTTGTAGGGCTACTACGTCCCAGTTCTGGGCTATGGGGCTGTTGAGGAGGGAGTGTTGAGCGATAAGGGAGGTATTCATATTCTGTTGCCAAATTCGTAGTCTGGTCGTTGAGTCCTGTCGTTGTTCAGACATTTGCATGGGTGGGGGTCCGTGGGTTGGGGGCGCTTGAGGGAGGTGGTGTGCTAGATGGAGTTGGGGTGGTCGGTGGTTGGTGTTGTGGTGTCGTTGGGTTTGGTTTGGTTTGCGGCATCGGGTTGTTAACTATTTGCGGGAGGTTGTTTTCATCTCCCCATCGTGGTGAAATTGGGATTGAGTTAGATCCTGTTGGGGTGAATCCGCGTGTGGAATGGCGATGTCCGAAGTGGGGGGGTGCGCCACGCGCCAGTGGTCCTCGGGGGTGTCATGTCTCAAATGTGAGGTTAGTCTGTCGAAAGGCTGGTCTGTGGTCTGTGGGGGCTTGTTCTATTGGCTTTCGGTATGGCGCTGGTTTTGGGGGTAACATAACCTGAGTCCATTCTTCGTTAGTAGGGAAAAAAGGCATCGAGTTTTCCGGGATCTTAGCGTCTAATGCTGCACATCTGTTCTCGAATTCGGGGCAATTTCTGTCCCAGCTTGCGTGGTTCGGTGAGTTGCAGCTGACACAATGGAAAGTGCGGTAGGCGTTGCATTCGTTTGTTCTGTGATTCTTGCCACATGTCCCGCATACGTCTGAAGGTGCGTTGCAGTCTCTTGCCATATGGCCCCACAGTTGGCACTTGACGCATCGTATTGGTTCGCGTTTGTCTTTGCGAGGGTGGAATTTTTCTTGTCCGATGTAGATGCCGTCTCTTAGGGATAAGTTTGCTGCTGAAGGGTCTGCGAAGTGGAGTGTTGCGTGAGCTACACTTTGCCCTGGTGCTCTCCGGATCCTGGGTTTAATCCATCCTGCTGCTTCTATAGCGCCCATTTGCATTCCGTTTTCTATCTCAATCTCCCTTCGCCAATCTGCATCTTCAATGCCTAAACTGATCGGGAGGAAAGGGACGATGATGGTGTATCTGCGTTCTTTGACTAGGGCTGGTGATTCGAATGCATTGGTGATCTTCAGCCTGTTTTCTGGTACGCATATCCATTTTGCTGCTTCGACTGTCGTTAGTTCGATGATCAGGCCGCCACTCCGTAAACGTGTGGTGGCTTTGATCTGTATATCTGGCGAGTCAGTGGTTTGAGTTGTTAGAAGTACTTGTTTCATTTTCTTGGCGATGTCCGCTGGGTTGTCGTGAGATTCGTATAGTTTGCCTCCTATTGCTGGCTCAATAAGAATCTGGCGTTCCTTTAGTGCTGCTCTTGCTAGCGCTGCCGATACTGGGGCTGGAATCTGTGTTTTCTGTTGTTGAGTTACTGCGCTGTACGATTGTATGTTTGCGGGTTGTTCTGATGATTGTGTTGTTTTATCGATTATGGATTGCGAGATAGTCTTGATGCTAGTTTGGGCGGCACTAAGGGATGGGGTCAGAGTTTCAATAGCCTCTTTTACTTCTTTGATACTGTTGAGTACGGTGTCCGCTGCATGTTCGGCTCTTGAGGCTGCTGCTGTTGCTGATTCTTGGTTGTTTTTGTCGTTTTCAGTTAGAGTGCCTTTGAATTTTGTGATGTCCTCTGCGTTTTTCTTCATGGTTTCTGCAGCCGTAAGCATGGCCGCTACCTGGGGTGAGATAGCTGCTATAACGTGTTGGGTGAGCGTCGATGTGAGGTTGTCCGTTATTTCTTTTATTGTTGGGTTGAACAGTGGTGAGTCGTCTGGGTCGGATTCCATGAGGCATGAGATCGCTCTAAGTCCTTTGATTACTATACGGGGTATGCCTGGGTACTGTGTGATGTGTAGAATTGTTAGTATAAGGTTGGTTTGCGTGATTTGCTCGCCTGCTTGGCGAAATGGGGATTTTTCTAAAAATGTTTCTCCACTCTGTCTATCTTTTACGTCGAATTCCTGGTTTAATATTTCTTCTTTTGTGAGCAGTAATGATACAGTGTTACGTGCAGATGTTCTTGTTTTGGTAGTGGGAGTAGGAGCTCGGGTGTTTGAGTTTCCCGTTCCTCGACCTTTCCCTGATGCCATTGGGTCTACTATTACCGAGGTAGCTTTCGAGGCTACTTCAGAGGGTTTAACTAGGTAACTGATGGACAGTTTAGACGACGGTGACGTCGTATAGCGCTGGTGGGCGCAGTGTGGAAAAGTTTTTTCCGGGGTCCTAGTAAGAGTGCCACTTGGTACGGGTCCAAGAAGCGATTGATAATTCTTTTCCACTGACATTCTGCTCATGTTAGGTTTGCTGCTGCTTCGTGCTTCAACCTCGGCTTGCTGTCTCCGAATATCATGGTATGCCAATTTGTGACTTACTCGTCTGCAAACGACAACTCCTTATCATTTCGGCAGAATTCAAATTCTGTGGGAGATGCGGTTTATTATGGCATTGTTCAAATCGCCGTGTTCGTGCAGCAGTTTGTGCTAGGACCACGCCTCATCCTTAGTGTTCGAGAGTCTCATGCCAAGCTGGTGGCCAACTCCGATGAGGGAACTCGCATGAGTTCAATCGCTTTCCAGGAGCACGTACAGAGCGTGTCAGCTGATGGTGGTGTGTAGCATGGGAAACGATTCATATGGACTATCCTTGTCGAGTCCTTCGCGGGGAATACGAGAACTTGTTTGGAGTTTAGTTGTGGTATTTACAGCTGTGTGCAAAAAGGTTGACAGTACACGCGTGACTAGAATACATTAGGAAATAAAATAAAACAATGTTCAAATCATACCAGTGACTGTGTTTTCACGAGTCGAAGTAGATAGTTTACATTCAAAAACTGAATGTTCACGTCCAGGATCACCGTAGTTGTGTCAAACAACGTCCCCGTACGTGTTTCACACTGTTATGATTTTTTTTAATAAATTTCCTGATATATTTAAGTCATGCGTTTACTGTCAACCTTTTTGCACATAGCTGTACAGTGTGTTGCATATGAGATTGCAGTGCGTGTTTTTCAAAAACTCGGCCTCGCCACCTTTACCGGCACTTGTATTCCTAACTAGGTCAAGGGATGTGACATGTCACTCTAGCCAGGGCCTGCCTTACAAGATGTGACATCTAATTATGGTATACAAGTGCCGGTAAAAGTGGCGAGGCCGAGTTTTTGAAAAACACGCACTGCAATCTCATATGCAACACACTGTAAGCGGCTGCATTTCAGAATAGAAGTGGCTGTGCAATTACCGGACTCAATTGCGATTCTACTAGATTCTAGTACGGCTTGTACTACGATCACTGGATGGGCAACGACAAGAAGAATTCAAAGGCAGCCGCAAAGGCGGCAAAAAAGCAGAAAGCGGAAGCCAAGATTTCCAAGAAAGAAAAGAAGAAAAGCAAAAAGACGACCGATGCACCTTCAGATGACGAAGATTTGGAGGCCATCCTCGATAAGGTGATTTCCATCGCATGCGTCCGTGATCGAGCTAACCCAATGTTGCCTGCTAGTAGATGAAACACGAATGGGAAGATGCGCATAAGGTCACGGAGGAACTGGTCGAGGGCCCACCCTCCCGGCGCGCGAACGCGACTCTGACCCCGTGTCCAAGCGGAAACTACTTGTGGTCCATCGGAGGTGAATTCTTCAGCGATGACGGCAAGGCCTACTTTTACAACGACGTCTACCGCTACAACCCTGAGAAGGATGAGTGGCGCAAGTTCGTGAGTCCTACGTGCCCTGGGCCTCGCAGCGCACATGCCGTGGTCGCTTCGCCGGCCGGAGGAGGAAAGCTCTTCCTGTTCGGTGGCGAGTTTAGTTCTTTGTATCAGAACACGTTCCATCACTACAGGGATTTTTGGTGCTTTGATATCAGCACTCATTCGTGGGATCGCCTGGATACTAAGGTCAGACCCAGCGCGAGGTCAGGACACAGGTGCGTACGCAATGTCCACATACTTCTTCTAATTCTCAGCATATTACAGGATAACAATGTGGAAACACTACATAGTTCTCTTTGGCGGTTTTTATGATCCAGGGCATCGCAGTATGTCTCCAGCATGGGATGCAGCTCGTTCATGTTGCACTGATATGCATTTAATCAAGCTCAATATCTACACGACACCTGGGTATTTGATACTCAGGAGTATAAATGGCGACAAATCGAATTTAAGGATACCGATCGGAAACCGTCGTGCGTTGTTCCCTGATTCCTTCTGTCAATTGTACCTAGTCATTCTTTGGTCACTATGCAGCGCAAGAAGCGGGTTTTCATTTCTCTCTACGCCAGAAGGCATTGTTTTACATGGTATGTATGCAACTTTCCATCGGACACCACTTCCCTATGATGCATGCAGGAGGTTATTGTAAAGAATACACTAAGGGCAAACGCCCTATTGGTGTAATGCTCGACGATACTTGGTTTCTCCGGTACGATTTACCACTTTCTGCTTTCCGTCGTACCTCAGCTCTCACAGTATGTCCGTCGAAACTTCCCAATATCCATCCTTGTCCACAGCCTCCTCCGATTCGCTGGTTTTGAAATGGGAAAAGCGAAAGAAACCATCCTTCGCGCCGCATATCCGAAGTGGTTGCACAATGTCGCTATGGTCAGCCAAGGGTATGGGCATCCTGTTTGGCGGAGTGACAGACAACGAAAGGGATGAAGAGAGCCTCGAGAGCGTATTTTGGAACGATCTGTGAGTCATTGGAAGGAGTCTGTGTGTCATTTTTCTCGCTCAGGTTTCTTACACGGGGTCATCTCGTGAGATATCATATTTGATCGTGGCTTTGTTGTTCGTGGAACTGGAGACTGACCGAATCATACCTAGCTACGGATACCAACTCGCCAGCAATGGACGTTGGCAATCAATGATACTCAAAAAGCCGAAAAAAGCCGGGAGAAGCGGAAAGCGAAAGGTTGTAGCTGTTCAGCAGGGCGAACCTGAAGCTTCGGACGAAGACGATGATACAGCCAAGACCCAAGTGGATAAGCGCACGGAGGTCTGATTCCGCTCACGCAGGCGGTGTTGGATATTGATATGATAATAGCAGGAGCCTGATATTGATCCCGATGACCCAACACTGACGGCCCCAATACCACGCTACAACGCTATGCTAGCTGTGCTGAGGAACACACTGTACATGTACGCGGTTCTTTGTTATCATCACTTGGGCACTGCCTGAATCGCGATCCTCCCCATATCAGCTATGGCGGCATCTTCGAGCGCGGGTCGAGGGAATATACGCTCGACGATTTCTACTCGATTCAGCTCGACAAGCTCGAACGGTACATGTGCCTCAAGCACAGCGGCATTGTGATCCCAGCAGAGGGCGATGAGAGCAGCAGTGACGAGGATGACGAGGATGTAGAGAGCGACGAGGATGGTGATAGCAATGACGAAATGCAGGTAGTGGAAGATGATGCGGGGCTCAAGTTTAAAAGGCTTAATGAGAGTCACGACGACGAAGTAGCTGACGAGCCTGTAGATGTGCGAGTGAGTGCACATTATTTTATGCAGTGGTGCGGCGAGAATTGACGGAGCATCAAGCATGACGAGGTACGTGCGCAAGCGACGGCGTTCATGGGTGTATCCAAAGACACGATGCGCTCTGCGGAGGATGTTATTAGCACACCAGAACCGGGAGAGACGCTAGCCCTGTTTTATGCTCGAAGTCGTAAGCTTCGCTTTACCCAGAGTCTACACTTTAGCGCTGATCACCATGAAGGTGAATATTGGACACAAAAAGCCCACGGCGTGAGCGATAATCGGGGCAAACAACTCAGGAGGGATGGCTTCAGTTTTGCAGAAGAGCGATATGGTGTGTCTGATCGCGGTTGGTCCATATTGACCGTGTGTCGTTGACCATTCATTTCTTGCCTCGTTAGCGGAGTATAAGCCTATCCTCGAAGAAGTGGAGAAGATCCTGGCCGAGGCCGGCCTCGATGAGGACGAGATGAGAGCAGGTGCTGCTCAGACTGGCGGAGGTGGAGGTATAGTGTCAAGTCGGAACCGTCGGTGAATAATTGAATATCACAGATATATTTGGCAGATCTACATGTAAGAAAGGCATTGAATACCGCGATACCACTGTTCATCTAGTGACATATACAAACGAGGCCGTTATAGTACTTACCGGGCGCATGTGCACTGTCTAGAAGAGTACACAAGAGTGGAGGCAATGCCAACATTTTAATGCAACAACGGAGGGTAGTAGAGGATCGCGGGCTAGGGATTCCCGGGCCCATGCTCTGAACAGAACTTCATTGATTCAAGGCAAATTCGGAAACTTTGGAAGTGTTTGGTTTGTTTTGCCAGTGGGAAAAATAACTTACATAAGATCCACTACTGTAGAGATACGACACTAGGTTCGTCACAGGTCACAGCCATCAACGAATCGAACCTATTTGGTGTGACTGTCACACCAATTTTTTGGGGGCCGAAGCTAATTTGTGACATGTGGTAAAAACATACAGAAAAACATATAAAAAACATACAAAAAACATATAAAAAACAACAATGTCCAGCTAGATTCTACCTGTTACTTCTCAACTTTATAATAAGATATGAATCAGACAAGAAGCCTTGACAAAATCACAATTTCCGAAGCTATTTTTTATGTGGTCACAGGTGACAGGGTAATTCGAAGCTGTGACACTAAGCGTGACTTTGTCACGTGCTGCACGTGACGAAGCTAGTGTCGTATCTCTACAGTAGTTGCTTTTGAACTTAATCCAGATCAGTGTGAACTGGCAGGTGCTGTCGTAGCGTTTCAACTTTCAAGTTCAAGCCCAGAACCAGTGAGCCCATCCTCTCCTTCGAAGCCTTCTCGAGGATCTGCCGGTGTTTCGGCGAAGGCAATACACCAATAACAAGGTCTTGACTAGGCAAAATTTCGTGTAACAGAAAATGCCCGTCCGCAATCCTCCGACGACAGAAGAACTGTACTCGTAACTCGGGTTTTTTTTCTTGCGTCTTTGGAGTCTCGTAACCCTTCTTGCCCTTGTGAACCAAAGACCAGCCTTCTAACAAAAGACATCGTGTCTGACTGCGGTGTTGAGTAGAATATCGCATTCCGTGACGTGCTAAAATCTATTAGATGGATACTTTCTGATCCACTCTATGACTTGTTTCGTATCTTCTGATAATAACAAGAACGAGTGCATTTTCAGCCACGCTCTGCAGCCGTGCAGCGCTTGCTCTGCGGCAAGACGAAAACGACACTGTGTTCCATCACTGATGCTATACGCATGACCTGACTCGGGAGTATTCACGACAGACGCTTAGCATTAATTAATCTGGATGAGTTTCACCTCGTGTATCCTACAATAACTTCTGACTTGGATTCAAGATCGTTACTGTCTCCTTGTTCCGCTGCTAGACATCCACTTCAATGCACGAGGATCATATATCGCAGGACCTCGTGCGCTATCCATCCATAGAGACTTTGATGCAAATATTGCGAAAACCTCGCGAACGATATTGGAAACAAGACTCCGACATCACGAATAGCTTTTCGAAACGCGGTGTTTAAATATCTTCCGCGCACACATCACTGCTGTGCGAATCCACGACCAAAATCCCACAAGGTTTGCTCTAAATCAACCGAGCCTTCTACTACTTGATCTCATCTCATGTGATGTGACACTTATTGTGGTCGACTGAACCCACGCATCAGGAACGGACATCCATCCGTACCATACTTATTTTAGCGATAGAAGCACTGGCTAGTGAGTGGTATATCTAGCACGAACACCATCGCTAATTCATCAAGTTAACCACTCACTTGACACCGATATGACCTTGTATTTGACCTTGAATCTGACCCTACTCTCAAATGATCCCAGTTGGTGGCCACTAATCGACATGAATCGTTTTTTCAGCTATTTTATAGGTTTGTGCAGAGCACGTCGAATTGTATTGGGGTTGTCTCGATCTGACCTTGATTCACAGTTGCATCCTCTACTGTGGTGTTTTACGATTGGGGTGAGTAACGCAGTACTTAGGGAGATTATTGATGTCCGTATAATGTTATCAGCATTGACATTCGGACAAGAGGTATGTTAATGACATTACCGGGACTAGTTATCTCACTAAGAATGGTTTGATAGATTGAACTGATCTGGGTGAGCAGACTGTCTTATCAGAAGAACCACAGAATTATACAGTTTATTTGCAGATGCACCAATGGTCACTCGTGACTGTTCTGTATCTCAGTGTATGTAGCTAATGTTCTCAATGACGGCTGGAAAACGTGCTGACTTCGCAAATACTCAAGGTGCACTACATGGGAATACTATACTCGGTGTATGTTTGTAAGACTAAAGTGTAGGCACTGTGCTAATCAATCATCTCGCATAATCAGCATCAACCTGCTATGTGCGTTTCTTCACACTCATGGTTTTGTTCCTTCTGACTGGCGGCATTTAGCAAGTCTCCCGTCGGTGTCGATGACAAATGCAGCAAGTATTTTGAATTGATGCCTGCCAGTCCTGTCCAACTCATTGCACTCCTATGTAGGGGTGAGTGAGATTATCGACCAACTTGTTGCTTGAATATAACGACTGAAAACCTTTAAGCTGTGAGTTTACTTGAATCGCTCCGAGTCAGACCTCCGGTGTTAATCTTGACAGGTGCTATTCTTTCCCTCTCCCAATCATGGACGACTGTGGTTGTAAATGCGGTGCTGAACGGTCAGCTACTCAGCTACAGTACCCGTTATAACAACTTGACTGAATAGTCATGCAGTCATCATAATCACTCGGTTATATGCCATGTACCAACGATCAAGAAAGATGCTTATCTTTCTTGTCGTTATCTTCTTGGCTGTCACGATTGCCAGTGGAGTGATCATTGGAATAGAAACTAGCCGTGTTTCGTGGGGTAAGCTTTAATTATGGATGGAAGATGAGTACCTTGGGCTAATGGATAAACAGAGGAGCTCATTCTCTTCGGTAATCATCTCTGTGCTTACTTAGAGAACTCAGAGGGAAACCCCCAATTGGTGATGGGTGAAAGTCGGATATTTGGAGTTGCATGGCAAGTACTTGCACTGTGTCTTGCGGTCTGGGTTGCCGTAAAGCACTTCCGTGAACTGCAACGACCATCGACAGGATGGACCACCGGAGACTCTTTCGTGGTGTTGATAAAAATGCATGTGCTTTACTTTGCAGTGTGAGCTCGTCATTTGCCTGTAATTATATTCCTCCACTGAAGTTCCACATATGCTATAGCTATGTTGTCAGTTCTTGCTTGGCCCTCAGCTCGATGTCTCCAAAGATCATGGTCTGCCAATCTGTGATATATGAATCCAGCCACTGCTCACCATTTGTATAGAACTCGGCTTCCATGGGAGTTCTATTTTATGATGGGATTCTTCAAATTCTTTTGCCCGTGCAGATGTTTGTGCTGGGACCACGTCTCATTCTTAGCATTCGAGAATATCATGCTAAACTCGTGGCTAACTCCGACGCAGGAACTGACACATCTACAATTGCTTTCCAGCAGCATGTACACATGTCGATTGGCAGTAGCGTGTAGAAGTGAACAATAACAAAATGTCACGATGCATCGCCGCTCGTAGCAGTTGGAGTAACTACGGGTGACCACACTCTGATTTCGTGCACAAAGCTGAAATAATGCTCACAACCAACCAAAGCCTTTACCCGAAATTTCATGTGGATTGCGGTTTCATTGTCTACTACCTACGACAAGCCCTGGCAAGAATTTGACTTTCGATCGGTACTTTTTTTTTGCCAGGATATAGTTATCGAGCTCAGTGTCAAAGAATTACAAGGTATCTGGTCGCTGGTAAGTTGGAGATCGCTGGATGAAGATCGCTGAAGAACGAAGTAATCGTCTACCCGTTGGAACAAGATGCTTACATTCGCAATACTTCTCATCAACGACAAAGCTGTATGAATACTACACGGTCTGAACCCCATTGTGATGAATTTCTTCAACTCACGTGTGCCTTGTCTCGGCCCTTTACGTTTTGCCTCCGAGAGGTCGAGGGTCATGAAACGATATCAGCGACTGACACCTGTCATGATCTGGACGTTCGTGAGCCAGTCAAATAAGTTCGAAAGAAATTAAAACAATAAAGACAGGATCGAGCCTCAGTAAGCATGCGAGCGCAAGGTCTGGTGATGACGCGGACATCCCGTTGCGCAAACCACTCCAAGTTTTGTGCAGCAGAAGCGCACGGGGATTTCCCTATCTGACGTCGAAATGGTGGGAGCACATGTGGCGGGAAGTGCGCAGGGAGGTCATACGAGAAAGTGTCGACGCCTCTACCTAGGAGCGCGCACTCCGTGGAAATGATGGAAGGTACTTATACTTCACGCTTGGCGCAGACCTTGGGTGCGACCTTTCTTGCGCGCACGATGTGTCGGTGAGGCAACGGGTTGCACCCCAGCGTATCTCGTAAATAGGATCAGGGGTTCTCTCAGAATGATACTACCACTCGATTCCACTCTTGGATCTTGATGGCCGCCTCTGCAATTCCTCGAGCCCATCTGCGGCTGTGCCGAGAGCGGGAATACGATCGCGCGCACGACCCACATATTCGGTATTTTCTCATCGCATCCCTAAAACTTATCTTTTTGCAGCGTATTTTTTTCTCTTGGCGCTGTCCAAAACTCCCTACCAAGAGTTATCCCCCGAGAGTGGCCAAGCATATCCCTATACACATGAGTTAGATCCATGGAGCTAAAGCCCGAATTTGAATTCATGGCGCTGCTGCGGATTGATAAGACTGTCAAGACACGCTCCTATACAGCGGTCAATTCGAGGGTGGGAGGTGATATGAAATCAATACTTATCTTATATAATTCAGGGTGGAAGGGAGAAGTGTGGAGTTTGAGTATGGCTGATACTGTGTTTTTTCAGTGTCCACCCATATATATTTGCTAGATATTGCCCCACCTTCGATGCGACCGCTGGATAGACGTGATCAAGACGGCGGATTGGGGGTCATCGGAACAGTCGCTCTTGACAAGGGAAAAACGAGCGCGCACCTTTGTTCGAATTCCTCGGTGTTCGTTCGTCTGCATCTTCATATATGCAGAATGTGACCTTTGAGCTTCGCGTTGAAATTAGAAAAAATGTACTGGTCATCGATGACGACGATCCCGAAATAGTAGCACGATGAAGCTATAAAACCATGGCGGCTCAATTAACGTTCCTCAGTTGCGAAAAGGCGCTAAAATATCCATTGTGTCGCTGGGCGCCCAGGGAGGAGTATAAATGTACTGGTGTTATCTGAAAAGGTATAGTTCTGCTTATCTGCCTAGATGGCGACCGGCACAATTGGCCAAGTGATCCATTTTGGATTCTAGAAGGTGAATGTTAAGTTGAGATTTCTGAAACAAATAAGTTAACCCACCTGCAGGCTCCCGGAAACACATTACACGTAGTTTAGTATGTAAATAATAACGGGGTTCAGGGTCAACATTTTAATGGTATGAACCCTGCAGGGAGTTCTGCATGATGATGCATGATACACAGTGCTTACAGTGAATCCTCTGTCGTGTAATATGGTAGGCGTTGCATCGTGATTGTCTAGATATATAGCTTATCCCCGAAGGCTTTCGAAAAAGAGGTGAGGAAATCAATAACCACTCTGAATCGCGGGCGCCATAATTGTAAGTGGCTCAGTTTGGCAGCTGTTTGGCAACAGCCTCTGATCCAAACAACCCTTACGCAATTGCGGATACAGAATTTGTTGAAATGTCCCTGCCAAGCGGCCACCAAGTGTTTTGGTTTACCTGATTCTGTGGTCGCCATCTCTGATTTCTGACTATGGAGCTGACCCAATGAGTACTAGATTCCCTTTCATCCTTCTGTCGCGGTCCTGTCATGAACAAAGCGACAGCCAAGACGCACGGTCTCTCATTTCACTTCCAGGAATGTCTATTACGGATCGTTATCGTAAGTGCCACAGTGTATTCGTCCCAAGTCCCTGTGAATTGACATGTACATGTCATTGAGTCTAATTGTGCAAGCTGAGAGTATCATTAACCTTCTTTTCACTCATACAGCGGCTCGAGATTTCCAAGTTGGACCTTGTATCCCTCTCAACCTTGTTATTCCAACTCAACGGCTATCGGCTTCATTTACAGTGCCAAGGCCACAAAATGGCGATAAAGTCGGATAAACGGTCAATAATGAGTTATGAAATCGTGCCATGGAAACTTGGCCTCATGCACTGGGCAGTGCTACAATCGTTCTCGAAAGCCTTAATACGTTCAAATGGCGACAGCAATGGAGTACGGTCTATAAAACTGCGGTGACTCACTCTCATTTCCTCCTGGATCTCCCGACCTCGATCACTTTTCCTTCCGACAAAGCCATATCATGAGCGCCACACTGCAGGACAAGATCTCTGTATCATTGCCCCCACCCGTCGTCCAGAGTAAGCGTTCGTATTCATGGGAAACCAAATACGACCTAGAGAACGATGCGACGGTCATGGCGAGGTTGAAAAAATATTTACTTGTGGAAGTCGATGAAGAGCGGTCTACAGTACCCATGGCTGCATATTGCTTCATCACTGGTGTCATGTGCGTCCATATGATTATATTCTCCTTGATTTCGTGTCCGACGTTTGATTCTTTCAGTAATGCTCTCATATTCTCAGCTATTTTTATCTGGTGTGGCTCTCAGACAGGGAATAGCGTGCAAGTATGAATGCTTCTCAAATTCAGAAAAACCAAAACTAACCATTATTCGATACATAGCTTGCCCTTGCCCTTGCCCGTCTGCTCAGCTGGGAGCACGACTATACCTTCCACCTCCTAGACCAACAAGCACTTTGCTCGTTAATTTCATTCGCTTTTGCCGTCTTCCTTGGCGGCCGCATAGGTGACAAGATAGGCTGCAAAACAAGGGCATGGCTCTTCTTGGGTACATTCGTTCAAGCCCTTTTCACGGTAGCGTCTGCGATATTGATGTGGGAGGGCAGAGAGAGCAGTGTTGCTGATGCTCGCGACGACCCTGCATGGACTGACACGTTGTCCTTCCTGTTCACCGGATTCCTGAGTGCAAGCATGGGATTGCAGGGCATAATGGCGAAGCGGGTCAACACACACTTCGCTACTACAGGTACGCGTCCACCGTCTTTTTTAATTTACATTTTCTCATCCTGACTCCCCACGCAGTTGCGCTCACAACGACATGGTGTGAGCTCATGGCTGACCCAAAGCTCCTTGACATCCGTCGGTTGATCGCTTCACGAGATCACAAGATCCTGACTATCGCCTGTTTCATCCTTGGAGGCTTCGTTGGCCGTGCATCACTCGACAAGATCGGTTCTGCCAGCACGCTTGGAGTCACCGCGGGTATTCGTTTAATGATTAGCGTATGGTGGCTCTTCACCCCGGCCAAGAACCTCGGGATGTAAATACGTTCATTTGGTCTCTGTTCACGTGTATGTACGTCATTTTTGTGGACATGCTGATGAGGAGAGGGGCGACGAGAAAGGATGACACGCCTTTGTACTATATAGACAATACAGGAATGGTGGACAATTTCCCATTCTGAGTATCACATAGAGTTTTGTTTTTCATTCTCAAGGCTATCACGGATTTGTACTGCAGTCCTCCATAATCTAGCGACGAGACCCAAGCGAGGCAAGGCCAAAATTGTCAGCGAGACCCAGTTGTAATCCGTTCAAAGGTCTCTGATAACTCTCGACCGTCATCTCCTTCCCGAGATCCGATATTTTAAAATTCTTCGCATTGTACATAAATACACCAACTAGAGACATCCGTTGAACTTTTCGACAAGTGGCGCTACTTGGTGTATTCACAAACTCCAGTCAGCCCGTCCGTCGGTTCGTTGAGTTTTTGTCCAGTGATCTATTAGACAGGGAACTTTTTCTTTTGTGGCTGCAAGCTAATCGTCCGAGGCCCTTGATGTCTCATTAGCAAAATTCTGTATTGTCAACGTAACCTTATCTTTGACATTTCTCCGCGCGGGTCCCTTGAAGCCAAGCAACGTACGACACTGGAAAATAAGGACAGGGATCCATGACAAGCCATGATGACAACTTTATGATGGCTGCGGCTGACCAATTTCCGAAGTTTTCCGACTGTTTGGCAACGTCCTTGGATTCAAACAACCGGTACGCCATTTGTAACATCATGACGAGTGTTGGCCGAGCAACCACAGCAACCAGTAATTGGTATTTCGGGTTCGATCATCGGATCGGTACAGATCTCGTTCATGGAGCCGGCGTGACCAAGTCTGACCACTTAGCAGTGGTGCAGGCCCCAGGCGAGAAAAAAAATCCGCTCTGAACGTTCTAATTCCACGACAGACGTGTCTCGGTGGTCGAATGGAATTTTACGGCGTCGAGTGGGTAATCTTTTGAGGGTCGTCTATTGGATAAGAACACTCCAAGAGAACATTTTACTTATTACTTCGCCTCGGCGATCGCAACGAGGGTTTGAGTCCTTCATGAATTAAATGTCAGTCAAAATGGAGCAAATCTTGAAAGAGCTGGTCAGAATGGCTTAGGCTTAGTAGAGCGGACCACGACAGACTATATATACTTACTCAGTACTAGTACTATAATGATTTGCGAATCAACGCATCCAACATTTATCGTTAACCGTTAACGTTCCCTTCCGTCACCGCATACCTCATTTACATAACGATGCCAAGTTGACGGCGATAGAGAGGCGAATAAACGAGTCGAACCAAAGAATCGTACCATGGAAATTCGATTTCGCCCACGGCGCGTTGATGCATGCCCGGTCGTTCGTGAAAAACAGACTCAGCCTGGGTACCTTCAATCGGATACATCGGCGGACTGCCTCTTTTAAATCGCTGGGTATCCCTCTCATTCCTTACAAAGGCTCCCTTCCATCCGACCTCGATCTTTTTTCCGTCTCTGAGAACGAGCCTGACCTCGACGACGATCTCGGTGGTGGTAAATTTGACGATCCGACTATCTTTGAAATCATCGACATGAACGCCACCCAGGACCCGATGTCATCCGAGACAACGCTGCCTCCACCTGTCCAGAACCGGTTTTCGCGGTATTCAATAGGCTGGAATAGACGCGACGGTGAAGATGATGCTTCGGTTATGGCGAGGTTGAAGAGACATTTGTTAGAGGAAGTTGATGGAGAGCAGTGTACGGCGCCCCTGTCTGCATATTGCTTTATGACTGGTTTTATGTGCGTAAAATTGCCCTCTTCATCTACTTCACATCTCACCTATCTCATTTTTTCCAGCGATTCTGTTACATTCTCTGCTATATTTGTGTGGTGCGCATTTCAAACGGGAAACAGTGTACAAGTATGAGTACTTGCGCAATTGAAAAGGATCAGCATAACTAATGTTGCTCGGTAGCTTGCTCTTGCCCTTGCCCGTCTGTTCAACGGGGAACACGACCGCTCCTTCCATATAGCTGACCAACAAGCGCTTTGCTCAGTACTCACGTTCATTTTTGGCGCCTTCATCGGCCGCATTGGCGATAAGTTGGGCTGCAAGACACGCTTGTGGCTAGTCCTCGGTACATTCATTCAAACCGTCTTTACAATGATTGCCGCTATTGTGATTTGGAAGAATAATCAGTCCAGCGTCGCTGATGCGCGCGACAATCCCGCATGGACTAGCACACTATCTTTCGTATGCATCGGGTTCATGAGCGCAAGCATGGGCTTGCAGGGCATCATGGCGAAGCGGATCAATACGCAGTTCACTACCACAGGTACGTTTCAGGTGTCTTGTTGTCTTTTCTTCCTAATTCTTGATCTCCACGCAGTTGTGCTCACGACGACTTGGTGTGAGCTCATGGTTGACCCTAAGCTCTTTGACATCCGTCGAATGGTCATTTCGCGCGATCACAAGATCATGGCTATCGTCAGCCTGTTCTTGGGAGGCTTTGTCGGCCGGGTATTGCTCGACAGTGTTGGTTCGGCTGGTACGCTGGGCATCGGCACAGGTGTCCGTTTGATCATCAGCCTATGGTGGCTTTTCGTCCCGGAGAAGGCTAGGAAGTAAAGATGCGTATGAAGTGCTCATATGCGTGTTTATGTTCGTGTACATATTTTCATCGGGGACGACTAGGAGACGAGATGTCACGTATGCTGACGGGTAGGGGAGTGACGAGAGGAGGATACGAGGCTGAGGAGGTTTTTTATGATTATACTAGTATTTTGCACTTTTACTGTAGTATTGCATAGATTTTTCTTTTCGTTCTTCGTATACCCTGCTTCGAGGAGCAGACTTTTGCAATGGAGGTCATTTTACATAAAAGGTCCACCCACCATTTCTACCAGCCAATAGGTCCCTTTGATGCTACATGTTGCATCTCGTCCGCCAACGAGTATCTGATGCCAATAACGGTATTGCTGCGCGCCCTACACTCCACCGCGCTACTACCACCAGGAGCGCCAAAAATACCTTAACTGTAAGATCTAGGCGTAGCAGAGGACAGATTGAGCCTGCGCCAAAAGGGGTTGGCAGAATGCCTTCAGGGGCTAAATAGCAACCGCTCTGAAATGATAGACAAACATTTGTTAACGCGATGTCCCAACTGAACTCGCCCACTCAATCGCCCACCTTTTAGTACTAACTAGTGCATGCAGCGGGGACCGTGTCGTATTTCAGCGTCTTTTCGACATGCCAAGCCATCTAAATGAGTGGTTGATTATCGCTTTGATAATAATTATCACTCCAGCGTGCCAAGCTTGATAGAAGCCCATTGCCGAACTTTGTCTATAGATAAATATACGATCCAAACGATAATCTTTACACCCGTCGAAGCCCAGCTGAAAGCAGCAGGCACATGAAGGTCTCGAAAGGGCGCGGTGTTCAACGCTTGCTACGATCAACCAAATTTGCGTGATCAGCCTCGGCTTTGCACTCGTGGCCGGTCGTTTGGCGGCGGCTGCCCTTGACATGTGATGGTTACGTCACTCGACTTGTCGGTGTAAAACCAGGCTTGTCTCGAGCCCGTCAAATAGGAGGTTGTTAGGGTATGATATGGCCTGATATGGATCCGAAGAGGGTTGATTTTCTGGACGAGGTTATCTTCCTTCCTAGCATGAGGCAAGATAAGAACCGAATAGTACGTACCGGTAAGTGATGACAGACGCGATCAAGAAGGATCAAGATATTCTTACTGCGTATGATTAAAGGTGCCATGAAATTTGGAAAGGGGATTACATACTAGGTCTGCATTCGAGAAAAGTTGAGTGATCGGTAGGTAATTCATGTCTGTATCATAGCTTGCTGCGTGAGATGCCTACTGAATCTTACCCTAGGCAAGTCGTCTTGAAGTCTTGTCGGGTAGCGCTGGGTCTTGGTGCGGATATATGTTGTCGTTATTACATGTTGTATGGGAAAGGCGAAGCGAAGCGTCATTGATAGAAGCCATGACGCACGCGGAGCAAGTAGTGCGGAGTCTACGGGGAAGAATATCGATAAAGGCCGCAACGGTAAGATCGGAAACCCCGGTGAGTAGCTGCTTGCGGCCTGGGCGCTGAGTTGGGACTTGGAAGGGTTGCGTGTTCCTGTTCCTTGCGAGGGGAGGTCCGAGTGGGTGCCAGTGGCAGCTTAATTATAATTAAAACATGCAAAAACTTGAAGGCAAGCACAGCAAGCCTGTACGAGAATCGAGGACATGCGTAGATCTAGTGGAGTGAGGCGTGGCGTGTGCCACAGTATTACATGCTGGACGGCACGAGGATAGAAACGCAGACTGACGGTGACTGACGGGGCTTGGTATCGGGTGACCGGCTGTGACCGGCTAGGCCGATTGACCCCCTTGGCGGATGGGATGGGGCCGAACAGTGGGGGATCCCTCGATTTACACGCCGCCGGGAACGTGTCATCCCAAAAAAGGCAGGTGTCCAAGGATGTCGATGAATGGCTGCATCGTGCTCACTGCCTTTTAGTGCCTCGGCCCTATGTAGGCTGAGGTACCACGCACCTTGTGGTGCTCGCAACGTCATTCTGTGTTGTATGTTTTACGCTCTCCAAGACTTCACACCTTGCAGAATCATGTGGACCGAACAGTTGGAAGGTCTGGGGATGTGGCGTGCTGAGTGATGTGTAAATTTACGCACTGACATGGGCAGTTCCTTGCTCTTTTCTGGTGCAGAAGGGAACTTTCGTGCTTCCAAAGCAGATGCGATGCGCTGTGATCGCATTCAAGCGCTCATATCTGCAAATCGGCCTTCAATTGACCCCAACTTGTCATCTCGACCTCTTTCCTGTACACAGAATACTACAGCCTAGCCATTGGGCTGAACTCCGTTATTAGACACAGCGAACCCTGTCGTCGCTGCGTCGACCGGTGCTCACACCACTATATACGGTTGCAACAACGGTTGTAGTCATTCTGTACAGTCGACACACCTTCTCGTAAGCGTCTTATTCTAGCCCCGCTAGTTCATTCACATTTTCTGACTAGTACAAAACCTTACCTTCAGACTCTTTTCGCGACGAACCAAACACGTTTGCTTCACTTTCTTGCTTGACCTTCTCGAAACCCATCAACACGTCTTACACTGAGCGCCAACTTTCCAACTATTTATGTTTACAACCATCTAGATATGGTCCTCGATCCGTCTTGCAACTCTGTTCCGTTCCTCGTCGAACGAGCACCTGCAAACTCAGCGACGACGACGAACCCGGTTTTGTCCTCCAGCAGCAATTTATTTATTGACAGGCCTAGTGATACCGGCCCGCTTTCCCCGATACTGTTGACATCCCAGGGCTCGAACACATCGAGCAGTACTGACTCCCAACCAACTAACGAGGTGCTTGGGAGTTCTCAGGTTCCGACATCTTCACAAGCATTCACAACATCTGGTGCGACAACTTCTGAGGTGCGTACGATATTTCATCGTCTGCGTTCGATCAATGACATTGCCCCCATACGTTCTTCCCTTCCATGGCACCATTCACGCTGGATCTTCCTCACACTTGTGACTATTTCACACATTCACCACCCTTCTCAACATATATCCTCGTTTATTTCGCGCTCATTGTTGTTTTTCATTATGAACATTCCACCGGTTTCATTTCGAACGTATCATTCTAATTCTCTGTGAATTTGATGGTCGTTGTCTATTCACTTTATCGTCATCACTTCAGGCGAATATGTATCCATCGAATGCTGGAAATGGTTATCTCCAACAGGCCATCACTACCTCTCCGACGCCCGTCAGCATTGGATCTGGGCCGTTGCCCAGCCCAACATCATTCAGCTCGAGGCAGGTCCTGCCGACATTATCTGGGGAACTTCTTACAACTTCACATTTACAGTGCTTCGTCAATTACAAATTCCGGGTCAACGGGTGCGAGTTCTGGGTCAAGTTCAAGTCCAAGTACGCTCCTGTGGTCTTCTTTGACGCTAAGCTCTGACAGTTCATCCTCTGGTTCGCCTTCTCCAATAACAACCCATACACCCTTGCCATCATCGTCTACACCCACTATGACATCTAATGTATCATCAACATCTACTGCACCCGGTTTTGCTTCCTCTTCCGCCATTACACCTATTCCCCTTTCGGTATCTTCGTCATTTCCAACAATAGCAACATCTACTTCTGCAGTAGTTTCGGCTTTTGATCCTACGAATTCTTCGTCGTCGGCAGATCCATCTTCGTCATCGGACACAGCCTTTACATTCAGCTCTTCTCCGGTGCTCACCTCGGGAAGCACGATAATTCCCACCACGTTGATTCTTTCAACCACCAAGGTCGACAAATACAGTACTACGCCGGCCACTACTCCGTCGGTATCAACGCTGATTTTGACATCTACCCTGCTGGGTCATCAAACCACCACCTGGACGACGACAACGAGCGGGGTGCTCAGCACAGCAGTAGTAGATACCGCTGGGGACAGGTAGGTTCTTTGCCCTCGTGGCGTCGTTATGATGTCATCTGCTATAATCGTGCTCATGGTAATCCCCATAGACTATCTCGTTCTCCCGGTTCTATTGCCGGTCTTGTCCTCGGCGTCCTTGGGGCTATCGCCTTCGCTATTCTCTGGCTTTTCTGTGCTCGTCGCCGGCAGCGCAAGCTATCTCGTGATGCGAGCGCTATTCCTCCATGGGCCCCTGGCGGCCCACTTGACGCTGAAGTAGACATGGAGGAACGTTACGCAGGCATTATTGCCGCTCTCAATGCAGGAATGGGTGCGGGAAGAAATGCCCGGATTGAGGGAGATACGAGTGGAGAAGTATCAGGCGAATTGGGAATGGCGCACGCTTCGTCTCCCACTCTACCTCGGTATTCACTTCCAGGAGAGGATAATGACGGTCCGCATGTCTTCCCGTTATCTCCACCTCCGCCACCATCTGCGTACTGTTCTCCCCCGCCACCGTCCGCATACGTTCCGCCTGGCTCTAATAGTTCACGTAGAAGAAGCTCGCCTGGTCCTGATGCTTCTGCATGGTTCGGAGGATATAGCGTCGCTCCTGCTCCATCGGCTGCGTCGCATTACTCTCATTCTACTTCGCACTTCCTTACTAGAACTGAAACGGGAACGAGGACGAGGACTGGAAGCGAGGAGCCGCTCTTGACGAGAGCAGGAAGCAGATCTTCTTATCTCGATTCTGGCAACAACAAAATTCGGCTCGGGTCAGCGTTCGGCTCACCTGAAGGAAGCATCAATAGTCACAACCTCCCACCTACGTCACCGTCCTCTGGCATTAGGAGTGCAACTACCTCTTCGTTCGATGTTCTGAGGAGTATTTCGTCTCAGGGTGCACTGCGGAGTACGTCTTCGCATGGGTATGGATTTGGATTTGGGAGTACTTCGTCCGGCACTGGATCACATCAGGGACCTACGCTGGGACTTGCTATCAGTGCAGCCCCGAATAGTTTTACGAGCAGGCGCGTTACGAGGTGGAAGAAAGGGAAGCGAGAGAGTACTGGAAGCAGCACTACCGTGTCTGCATCTGTGTCGGGCTCCGTGGACGAGAAACCCGCCGGCGTACGAGCTTTCCTTGGTCGTCTCAGACGGGGCAACACGCCGAGCCCAAAGACAGATTTCTTCAGAGAACTGCCTAGAGACATGGAGAACGAAGGAGCTGCTGAGAAGATGAACACTTATGGCCCGAATACTTCCCCGCATACCTTCTCGGCTGTTGTCTCCCCTGCCACTCCCGAACCTGCGTCTGTGCCAACATCTCCGCGATTCGTTCTTTCCAATCCCGATCCGCGGCCTGCCTCTCCGTATGTTCATGTCGACATGGGAGAACACGAGGATGGCTTACACCCACCCACGTGGCCATGGCTGACAGGGCAGTCAACGTTGTTGCCACCATTTGGGCTCCACTCTCCCGCGCCCACTGACGAGTCACGCCTTACTACGGCCGACGGACTTCTTGATCCCCGCCTGCGCGACCCTGTTGAAGGAAGGAGCAATTCAAGTTTACGGGATTTTGAAGATTACTCACGGCCAATTGGAGGAGTGAGTATCGCTTTTTAGCCTCGTTCTTTCCTACCCGCTCGTTGTTTGCATCGCTTACGATTTGTCATATAGCTCATCAATAACCGGATGCACAGCACCACAACGTTTGGCACTGTTGATATCCAAGATTTCGACAGTGTAGCAAGCATGCCAAATCGAGAAGACGACCAGCAAGAGGATGATTGTGCTACAGCGACTCAGACACCTCGTGCAAGCTGGATCATAGATGGTGGCGCGGGGGCCCACGCGCACTAGGACGAACTAATCTGGACTGCTGCCACGACTTGGATATGACTTTATGACGACTCTTTCTTTGCTGAGATGTTTATGAAATGACGAAACACTTTCGTTTTGCCATGATACATACGGTATGGGCTTCTAATTGACATCCCTGTCTATTACTGACGTACCGACAGACCACACAACGCACAATAAAACATGACTCAGAGCACTCATGATCTCACATCTGTACATGCCGCACATTCCTCACATATTATGCCCATACATACCCCGCGGGCCCGCTCGGGCCCGTTGTACCATATAATGACGACAAGATAGACGACATTGGCACACTTTCTACTTCCCCCCTTTGGCTTCCCAAGCTGACTTTGGTATCTGGTATGAGTCCTTTGGTTCGAGTGATGCTTGCTGACTGACGCAGTTGGACTTAGGGAAGATAACTTAATTTTGCATTTCATCATGTCTGGACCTTGCGGGTGACAAGACAGCTTCGTTTTCGCCTTCGGGTTCATATTGCTTTCGACGTCTTTGCTTTGGGTATCTTTGCCTACTATGATCTTGCTCGCTGAGCTTCTTAAGCACTTCTTTTGTTTATTGTCGTCCCCTTTTTCTTTGCATTTCTCTCCTACGGTAGCTTGGCATTTCTGACAAAGCGATTATGAGTCTGAATCTGATGACTGAGAACTGGCCTTGATGCGAAAGTTCTGATAGTAAGTGCACAGGGATCTCGCTAACTTAGAGGTTTTTCCCGCTAGTCGTCACAATTGTGTGGGGTTCAAGTGTTTCCCGGAGAAAGGGACCCTCTTAGTTCGAAAATTTTACCTCTTCCTCCCCAGGAAGTGTACCTGTGGAAACTTCAAATAACCCAAATTGCAAATAGATTTCACTGGAAGTAACAGCTGTGAGTATCTATGTATACAGGAGTGCAACACCATACTTCGGAACACCAAGTAAATACCATAACGAGACTCTGGACAAGAATCGCGTGTTCAGTCAATGCTCTTACACACTATCACTAGTCGATATCTGTGCTTGCTCTTGGAAATGGATTGTAGCTATGCCAGTTCCTGCGTCGCAGTTGGCCACGGTCTCAGCATAATGTTCTCGAATGCTAAGGATGAGGCGTGGTCCCCGCACAAACATCTGCATGAGTGTGACAATTTCAACACTACTACCATAAACCTGAGCTTCCACTGAAACTGCATCCTATAGGAAAGAGGAGGATTGGTGAGATGCGGATGTCAGTCGTGGGTCGGCGTACTAGCAACTTCGGAGACAGCGCCGCGACGTTCAAGTTGTAACAAGAAACAACAGCATATCTACTATCTAGCGAATGCAAACATTAGCGGGACAAGGCAATCACATCCAAATTACGAACTCACGCTGCAAAGTAAAACACGTGAGATTTTATCAACATTGTGAAACAGTCCCCGACGGTCCATCCATTCGATGGTCGTTACATTTCAAGGAAGTGTTTTGCAGCAATCCAGGCTACAAGGCACAGTGCGAGGACCTCCCATACGATGCTAAGCATCCAAACCACGCGAGTCATAAGTCGGCTGAACCCTCCCTCAAGACAATGATAGGTGCCAGAGATGGTGGAGAGTGATGCACACACGACGCTGTCGCATTCGCTTTATGATACGCTAGCTGCTAGATCGCTCGCCGTTTGCCAATCTCTTTCGTTCATCCAAGAGTCATTAATATTGGAGGTTGGAAAGTGGGGGATTTTGAGGGTTAGACATCTTGCCCTGAAGATTCCACTTTCCAACCTCCAATCCTTGGGAGGTGTAGTGACTGAAAATGCTGGCGATCTTCCCTTCGCCGTATGGCTCAAACAAGAAGAAATTTTTCTGTTCTTAGGCAAGTCTACCCCAGGACCCAGGTGAACCCCTTCCCTGGCAAAGCTGGGAACGCAACATCTCCGCAAATTCGTCGGTAAGCCTCTGGTTGTTAATACATAATCAGCGTGCTAACACAATTTATGAAAAGGTTTTTGTTACCAGCGGCTGTCGCGCTCCAAAGGGCCCTACAGCGGCCACGCCAGCCCCACCCACGTTGTCAACCCTTCCACCCGCTCCCGCTCCCCCTCAAACTCCCGCTCCAGTACCTACTAAAATAACTCCATCATTGTTGGCCACACTTCAGGCTTTACATATCACAGAAACCCCACCCACTACTATCCCTGTACTGGCGACCCGATGTAGGGGTATCGACAGATTTGTGATTTTGGGGCACCCAAGGTAACCAACGTTACCACGGGGTGCTTACTCATAATAATGGGCCTCCTGTGCCAGTGGAGCCCCTGGTGCCAGAAAGACGCTGATATTTCTAAGAAGGAGAAGAAGGCCCTTATGACTGAGGTAAGTACATCTCCGATTCCTCAGAAACAGCTTGCTAACTTCAACTTAACTTGTAGTTTTGTCTAGAGCTGACTCGGATCGGACAAGAGCAATTTGGATTGAAGCCAAATTTCCTGAAGAAAGGGTTTTTAGATCCCTTAACTCTAGAGGTCACAGACACACGTATATCTGCGATCTCGCACAAACTGGACGCTATCCTGGCCAATAGCAAGCGCTCATTTACCCATCAGCTCGATACCCTCAATGCATTACTGGAGCGGGAAAATAGGATTAAAGAGGGTGCTGAGAGGTTTCTCAAAGCGCCTCTGAACGTATGTACCATTTTTCATTCATGTCGACTGATTTACAGTGTGTTCCGCAGGAGACAACACCCATTCACTTCACTTTCACAGTTACGACTAGCGTGATCCCAGGCATTCCAGGCTGCTACTGGAGCTCGAGCAGTATCCAATACTTCATGTCGTATATCCTCTTCTTTGTGTTTCAACTGGGTATGTCGCCGGGCACTGGGAGCATACCTTACAGATGCGGTCTGCCTGACGCTCTCCACAGTACTGGTCCCCCTCACACTCATACGTGTCATACAAAGCTGGCGGTTGTGCATGCGGACTCTGTGAGTCAGGACTTCTATATTTCCTTACTCATCGATAATGATGATTATTCCCAAAGTTCTCTCAGCCGTGAACTTTTGCATGCCGATGCTATGTTCCGACTTGCGTAAACCTCACAATACCCTCAATATGATTAGGTCGGTATTGATGTTCTGCACACATAGTCCACACACTACAACGTCCTCGAAAAGTATGCATCTCCGACTTCTGTTGCGAATTCCCACTGACAACATCGACAAACGCACATACAGTATGCAGACCTTTATTCTTGCGATCCTCGCCACGCGCATACACCTCCATCTCGGGTATATCGACCGGGGCGTGCACAGCTCTGACGCCCACGTATACATTTCTATGTCCAACATGTCACCTGCAGACCGTACAGTGTGATGTCTTATCGTGTTGATTATTCGTCCGATGTTGGTGGGGTGGGGTTTGGACTACGAGATGGCCTGATCGGGTTGGCTTGGTCGGGTTCGGGACGCACTTGACAGAAGACTTTTGACCAAATGTGGCTGAACTCTGATACACATACGATGTTAAACGAGGGCCCTGCTATCTTGAATCTCCGCAGAGTGATTGGAAGCCGAGAGATGCATTACTTAGCATCGCGGAGGTCAAGATGATTGAACGTGTAAAAAGTCATTCGCGTCGGTGCAATGGAAACAACTTCTTCAAGTTATAAACATTGGATTCAAGATACATGTAGGCAAATATTTGTGCTCGACGTCAGAACTTTGGACGACTGACTTGTGCCTACGTAGAGTTATGTAGATATGACAGTGTGTCAATGCAACGACTAATTTGTGGATACGGTCAATGTAAATGAGTGAACCAACGATCTGATGAGTAATGCGCACTGTAACGAAATCATGTGTCAATAAAGCTGGGAGGGAGATGGGGTGTCGCAAGGGTGAGAGAGCATGGAGCATCGCAGGAGATAGAACAATAGGAAAGAGGTATCGCAAGTACAAGAAATAAATCGAGAAAGGAACAAAAAAAATCATGTTGCCGACAACTTATGAATGGCGCGCAGGACCCATTGCCCGCCGAATAGGATTGTCCCTCTCCACAACAAACGCCCCAGCACGCAGGCCATCATTTGCAGCCAGGCGTTGCTTGCTATCCTTCTCCCTACGTTCGCGCTCCTCCCGAGCGTGCTGCAGGAGTTCAAGACGCTCAGCTCCCTTGTCAGAGCCCTGGGGCTTGGAGAACACGGGCTCCCGCTCTATGTCGTCTGCGAAGACTATCTTCTTGCGGGAGCCGGTGCTCGCGGTACTTTTCTCCCCCTCAGATGCGCTGACATCTGAATGTGCAATTTTTGCACGCTTTGCACCAAGGGAGCCGTTCGGAGGAACATCTTGGCTGCGGTCGCGAGGCTTGCGCTTAAGCTTGCTGGCAAACAGCCGGCGGGGGACACATGCCTCAGCCACCTCAAAATCTGGATGATCCATCGGCAGCTTAGACGCCTCAAGAACTTCAGGAGCAACATGATATTGAGGATTATGGAAGGTCGCTTTTTGGCCTCGGCTAATGGAGCGGTCAGCACGCAGATGATGATAACTAAAAAGACGCACAAAACGTAGGTTATTGTTGGCTTCTCCTCAAACACTGGTGCAGGAGTTGGCGTGCTTTCACGCTCAAGGGCTTCTCCGACAGGTAATTCGTCATCGCTGCTCTCCCAGCCGCTTGCTTCTTCGCCCTCGCCAGCGAGGAAAGGGTTATCGGGAGAGTCCCGAGTGGGCCATATTTTCTTGGCTTTGGAATTCGAGGGGGATAGTGGCGCACGAATGAAGAGTTTTCGGGGAGGGGTCACAGGTGGCTCTGGTAGAAGAGGTGCAGGCGGAGATGAACGTGAGCGCTGCACTGATGATGCGCGATGATGAACTTGGGGTGCTCTGCGAGAGGGAGGTGGCGAAACGGGCACACGGACGCGATACTTCAACAGTGCAGGTGAAGGTGACTTATCCTCTTCCGTATCGTCCACTGCAGATGATTTCCTACGCCCACCAGACGCCGCGCCACCACTACGACCAGTCCAAAACGCGTTCTCATCGTCTTCTTCTTCGTCATGCGCGGGAAGGGCATCCGTGGTTCGGCGCTTTTTCCTTCCCATGAGCCCATGGCCATCCCTGTCTCCACCAGTTTCGCCCTCGCTTTTGCTGTGCTTTTCAGTGAAGCGTGCAGCGTAGCCTCCACCAAGGTCGTCCTCGAGTTCTGATGCGCTGCCACTGTCATCTGACGCGTGTCTAGAGGTCGCTGACACTGCTTTTGAACGAGACCGCTTGTGACGCGTTCTGGGAGGCGTAGGAAGAGATGCTAGAGACGCAGAACGCTTCAAGGGCCGTGAATGAACCTCTGTATCGTGAAGAGAGGGAATGTGGACGGGCGATGAGTCGAGTATCTGGTAGCTCGACATGTTTCAAGATCAAAGTCGGAAAAGATTTCGCTAAGAAGAGTTATGCAAGAGATAAGATAGTGGTGGTTAGAAAGAAAGAAGTAATTAGCAGACGTTTCAAACCGACAATGGCCCCTTCCATAAAAACAACACAATGCATATAAACATATACAAACAAATGCTCTTGTATGTCTGTATGCAACAAAACCACAGGTTCTCAGTGCCGTGGTAGCATGTACAAGCGTGTAATCCGGGCGATGCTTGCCGGAGTGATCCTAGCAACAAAAATCACAGCCTATCTCACTAACTTTCACTGGTGAGCGAGAAAAGGGCTGAATTTTCTCTCATTTCTAAGAGTCTGTGAGTGGTCTGTAAGCACGTTTAATGGTTGTGCGCGATCTGCCAATGAGAACGCGTTGGCGGTTCCGATAAGTTCTCACGATTGCGATGCGATGGGTATTGGGGGCAAAACTGACGAGTGGTATATAAGGTGGGGTCATCATATGTGAAAGCTTTAGAAGATCTGCCACATACTTTCCTCCTGACCCACTATCATATTATTATTATGAGCGGAAGACCAGCTTCAGGTATGTCCATCAGCACTTTATCTTATCCCGTGTTGCACTCATCCGCGATCCTGCAATCAGAGTACAGTGCCTGGAAGAAGCTCCAGCAGACGTATGATGCCGAACACACCAGGCTCATCCTGAAGGACCTTTTCGCTCAGGACCCCAACCGTTTCTCAAAATTCTCCGACGAGTATGTCGACCAAACCGACAAGAACACGACATTCTTGCTCGATTACTCTAAACACCTCATTACGAAGCCCATCTTAGATACGCTCCTATCTCTTGCTCGCGAGGCAGAGCTTGAGACCTACCGCGACAAAATGTTTGCTGGCGAGCACATCAACACATCAGAAGATCGCGCAGTCCTTCATGTTGCTCTCCGCAACTTCGACGATTTCAAGATCCAAGAGGCTGGTGTTGATGAAGTCGCTAGCGTGCTTGCGCACATGAAGGAGTTCTCCGAAGCAATCCGGAGTGGCTCATGGAAGGGGTACACTGGAAAGACAATCAACACGATCGTCAATATCGGTATTGGTGGTTCTGATCTCGGACCAGTTATGGTCACCGAGGCACTCCAGCCTTACGCGAAACGTGACTTGACCGCCCTCTTCGTCTCTAACATTGACGGAACCCACCTCGCTGAGACTCTCAGACTCTGCGATCCCGAGCGCACCCTCTTCATCATCGCCTCTAAAACCTTTACCACCCAAGAGACTATCACCAATGCCGAATCCGCTCGCGATTGGTTTTTGGCGACAGCCAAGGACAAAGCACACGTTGCAAAGCACTTCGTCGCCCTCAGCACGAACACACAGGCTGTCACCGCGTTTGGCATTGACAAGGCAAACATGTTCGCCTTCTGGGACTGGGTTGGTGGGCGCTACAGCTTGTGGAGTGCCATAGGCTTGTCCATTGCCATTTATATTGGCTATGATAACTTCGAGCAACTCCTGAAGGGTGCTCATGGTATGGACAAGCATTTTAAGGAGACTCCCCTCGAGAAAAACCTTCCCGTTCTCATGGCTGTTATCGGCATCTGGTATAACGATTTCTATGGTGCCCAGACTCACGCACTCCTGCCGTACGATCAGTACCTCCACAAGTTCGCAGATTACTTCCAGCAAGGAGACATGGAGTCTAATGGAAAGTTCGTTACCAAGGGCGGTCAACGTGTCAACTATCAGACAGGAGTAGGTGCAATAGACTCATTTGCACGACAGAAACTGACATGATCCTGCAGCCCATCATCTGGGGTGCTGCAGGCACTAACGGACAACACTCGTTCTATCAACTAGTGCACCAGGGCACTAAACTAATCCCCGCAGATTTCATTGCCCCTGCCACAAGTCACAACCCCATCGCGAATTCCAAGCATCACCGTATTTTGCTCTCCAACTACTTCGCCCAGCCTGAAGCGCTTGCATTTGGTAAGACAGAGGAGGAGGTGCGCAAGGAAGTTGGAAGCGGTGCAAGCGAGGCGCTCGTGAAGAGTAAGGTGTTCGAAGGAAACCGGCCTAGCAACAGCATTTTGTTCCCGCTGATGACTCCCAGAACCCTCGGTGCGCTCATCGCGCTATATGAGCACAAGATCTTCACCCAGGGTGTCATTTGGGGTATCAATTCATTCGGTAGGAATGCGCGCGGTTGACAATTTCTCGTTCGCTGAATGGGTCTTTGTAGATCAAATGGGTGTCGAACTTGGAAAAGTCCTTGCGAAGAATATTTTGTCGCAGCTGGGCCACCCGTCCGATGTGACTGGTCACGACAGTTCGGTGCGTTTATCTTTTTACTAGGCTTCACTTTTTAGCTGAGACAAAATTGGTCTGCAGACTACTGGTCTTATTCACTACTACCAAAAGCACCGAAAAGAATGAAACGTGGTGCCGAGGCTGTAAGATTGAGCATAGATTGCAAAATAGTACAAGGATATTCTTGCCATTTCTTGATAACAGTATTTCAATAGGAGTGTAATATTAAAAGCGCTTATAGATGAGAGATAGGCAGGCCTCAGCTTCAAACATGAAATGACTTCGTGTGAAAGATTGACGGTCCTGCCAGTGACGTTTGCAGTCCTCGCTAAGACTGCAAACGGGTCACGTGATGACTCAGCCACAGCGCTCGCCTTCCTTTCTGAGTTTGATGACCTGAGTTTTGCCAATACCGCTCCACGTGCGCCTGGACCTCGACCACCGACACGATCGACGACGATCGACGATCTCGCGGAACGAAAACCAGCCCGAGAGGATGGAACGACGAGACGGACAAGTTGACTGCCTCAAAGGCACCTGCAAAGACCACTGATTTGAAGAAAGGCGGTTGTCCTACCTCTACGTCAACCTCGTTTGTCAATGATATATTCGAGCGCGTCGGTACGTCGTCCTACCTCTACGTCAACTTCGTCGCGGGTCTAATTTGGCCGCAGTGTTTGAGGCAGGTGCACCCCCTGGTATGTGCCCGTCTCCAATGGGACCGCGGCCATCCTGAACTCGTTTGTCAACGACATCTTCGAGTGCATTGGTGCGTCCTCTTACTTCTTCATCGCGGGTCTAACCTCTTGTTGCATTGTTGAGGCAGGTGCATCCCGATATACCGGTGATCTCCACTGGGGGCCACGGCCGTCTTGAACTCGTTTGTTCAAACGATATCCTTCGTGCGCACCTGTGCACCCTGACAGACGGGCATCTCCAATGTGCCACGGCTGTTGGATCAACCACGAGTAGATGGGTCTGCCCCGACGCGCGGCGTCCTGGTAGTTTCCCTGAAGAAAGTCGCCGCAGATCAAATTAGATTTAGGTATGAACTTCTATTGGACGAGTTCTCTCAATTTTCGCTTACTATCGAATTGCAGGGAATTGCAAGCGTTCATTGATGGGAAACAGACCAAGCAGACTGCTCAGGTCCTGACTGCTATCAACGTATTGCAACTTATCATTTGCCAGGCCCCGAATTTGTGCGTCGCACTTTTATCATTATCCGGTATTTCACTTACCATCGAATTATAGGGAATCATTTTGTCACAGACGATATTCTTCGTGCGCACCTGTGCACCCTGACAGACGGGCATCTCCAATGGGCCACGGCTGTCGGATAAACCACGAGTAGATGGGTCTGCCCCCACCGCGCTGCGTTTTTTATATCACCGCTTATTCACTAGTTGAGACACGATGACATGTATTGTAAGTATCTAGTTAACCACAATGACAAGTTCTTCCGCAGCTATAGCAAGGGTCACAGCCTGGCCTGTTTGGGTTCATGTAATGTTCGCGAGCCTCTGCTGGATTGTCATTCCAAGACAAGAGGTACTTGAATATGGTACCAGGGTTGTCGAAATTCTCAGCCCACCCACCCCAGTCGCAGATCTTCCGAAACGACCAGCCTCGCACCGTGTGCAGAAATTGACACCCGCCGCGACGAAACGAGTGGGTACCATATGGACGCGGATCAACGTTTATGTCG